ACTGAGATCCACTTGGCCTGTCGGTCTAGGGTAACCTAGTCTGGTCTTGCGCTGTGACACTAATTAGTTAGTTCTTATTGTCTCTTGATTCTTAATAGTCATAAAAGCCATTACTTGGCCGAATTTATAAGATATTATAAGGAGAAGAAGATTATTATACTCTATATACCTACTTATGCCTCTTATCTACTCTAGCCTCTTAATATCGGCTACTTTAGACTGCTAAAAAAGGCCTATAGGCAAGAAATAGAGCATCTAATTAGATGCTTTATAAACCATATTTCTAAGACTAAGTTCTTTCTCGCCTTCCATGCCGCCTACCAAGCTACTATTATTAAATATAATATCCAGGGAGGTTTTAGAGGAGCCAGGCTTACTCCCCTTAACCCAGAAAATATTATCTTAAAGCTTAATATGCAATTACAGACCCCAACGCCTCCTGCCGAGGTTATAGCACCTTTAACCCCTTGGGCTTTAAGGACCCCAAAGATAATACTAGAGGCCTAATCTTATTCCAAATATCTAAAGGCATAGATCATTAATTACAAGAGCAGCTCCCTGGAGTTAATACTTAAAGCTGTTAGGCATTTTAAAAAGGCAGTAAGCGTTCTTATCTATAAGATAGTCTTACTAGAGGATAGGGTAAAACAACTTGAATAAGAGAATCAGATAGTAGGTAGGCGCTAAAGGGGGAAAAGAACTAGATTATAGAGAGGAGGACCTTTAACTATAGAAGAGGCATTATAAGTAATTGATTAGATGGATGTTAATATGTAGGTAGCGGCTGAGTCGTTGAGAAGTGGTGATCGCAGAGGGTCGAAGGGACCGAGGGTTATGTATTATGGCAAATGCGGTAAGGCCGGGTATAATGCAAGGACCTATTAGGAGGTAATTAAGGTTAATATGGAAGAGTATAGCGACTGATTTTAATTGATTTACTAGGTTGTGGTGTTTTTATTGCCGATTTAATTGAGAAGGTTAGGATTTTTGGGACACTTGTTTATCTGGGACACTTGCTTATTAAATATGTTAGTATTATAGAATGAGATGTTTGTGGTATGCTCGATTAGGAAATCCCCGACGGCCCGGACTTTACGGACACTTTCGATGAAATATTCTCCGTCACTAGATTTTGAGCTTCGGGAAAGTGTTTCCTGCGTGACTCTATTGCGACTGGCTAATGCAAAGTGATCCCTGAGGATCCTGTATCGTCGTGGCAGGACTCAGCCTCACGACAATAATCGGAAACCGGAGGAGACAATTTTCAATCTTTTAGCCAGCGATAGCCTCGCTGAAAGTAGCTCGAGGCCGAGGTGAGCTTTCTCAAGAGACTTGATGGGTTTTAGAATGACGTTTATATTTAATTCTTGTCCAAGTTATTCATGCTACTGGTTCAAACTTACATATCATGAGACGTATATCTAAAGGTGCTCAATGTATGTGACATCTAAGTTCAACCCACTCTGATCAAAATCTCGCCGTCGGTATCAACCCTCACCGCATCGGCAGATGCAATTATTCCAGAACAATTCATATTCCCGCGTGCCTGAGCAAAGCTGACCGCAGAATCAGATGCCAACACATGACCTCAAAAGCTCTCGGCATATATGCTGAGGCTAAGCCTCTGGGGGCTGAGTAATAAAACTATCCCAAGAAAGCTAGCAAAGGGAGACTTGCTGAGTGTTTAACATAGGGGTTCTTTTTATCCGCCTACCAATCACAAGCCGAGCGACCCGAGGGATCTTCAATTGACAAGATAGGGCTGTGGTCAATGTTTCTGTGCTGGTTGGGCTGAAACGGCCATAGGGCGGGAATAGTTATAACTCAAGAGCTAACTTAATCACATTGCAACGTCTAACAATTAATTCCCGGGCCTAGAAATAACTGCTATGTGAATCAAATCCTAGTCATATGGTATTCACAGTAGTAAGAAGAGCTTTGAATCTCAAATTCGGTCAAAATTTGCCGCAGAACGGAATTCCGCTTCTGTGTGACCTCCTGCCACTTGCGGCATAAATCCATGCGTTGTCAGCGTACCGCTCAAGAATAACCATGGGTGCCCCCTGTACTTCCAGCCCGTTTCTCACTGACGATCTCTGAATGGCTCTTCCGGATATACCAATTTTAGCATTGTCCTTCGATATAGCCTCGGGTTGAATTTCGCGGGCTCAATGCGACTCTGCCTCATTGAGGATCCTGTGGTAACGTAGCAAGAGGCTGGTGAAGATAATATCATTGGGGCGGATAAATGGATTACAGTTTTCAGAAATGGAAATAGTATAAAGAGAGGGTTCCCGTCTATATGGTGTCCTTTGTTCACCAGATCACGACTTACAACTTCAACTCACTCTTCAACTTGTTCTTCACACTCCAACCGCCAAAATGGTCAACTTCATCACCTCTTTCGCTATCCTCCTCACCGCTGCTTCTTCAGCCCTTGCTGCTCCTCAGCCTCTTGAAGCTCGTGATGATACCAGCTGCATGGACAACCTTCCTGGAAACACTTTGGCCAACGTACGTCTCATGTCCTGCTCGTCTCCAGCTCGATCCAAATTACTGACATCTCAAAGGTCAACGAAGCAGTCGAGTGCATCAACTACCTCGCCAGCCTCGGTGACCAAGCCTGTGTTGCTGGTGTCTCTGGCCAGTCCTTCTGCAGGCGCGGAAACACTCAGATCACGGGTCTTGCCGTTGGACTCAACAGTGACCAAACCTCTTCTTCTCCTTGGTGAGTTTGCTTGTGAAAATCGATTTTGTATTTTGAGGGCTTTTGCTAATTTCTATTTCAGCCGTGATGTTGCTCGAGGTGCTGGTCTTGTCATGGAGTAAGTCTTCTTCCAAGTATACCAACTGCTGCTTTACTAACGATTCTCAGCCGCTGCACGCGAGCCGATGGAAAGGTTCGAGGACAGAACCCTGCTTGGGGCAATGGACACCTCATGGTCGACATCCGCAATGTTCCTCAGTAAGGCAGCGGCCAGTGTGTCTTGAGTTCAATGACATACAGTGAAGTGACTTCTCGTATATGCTAGAAATTAGAATACAACATCATATCCTTATCTCTCTTTGAACAATATCTTTATGCCTTGATTTCTATTTATATTGCTATGTAAGCCAAAGACAAAGACTAACAACCATACTTAGGCTGCTACAGATTTCATTATTATTTATGTTTGCTGTTGATATTCAATACTGCATCTCAAACTTGAAGCTACGTGATTGATTGGGTTGTCAACCTCACACAAAGTCCAACCCAAACCCAGGCTGTCTTAGGCAAACAGCATTGCAGCCCTACGACATTCTATCCGAAGTAATTTACTAAGCTCCAGAACTTCTTTTTTCTCATATGATAGGTCCTAGATATTTTTATACTTCATTTCATAGGATGAGCGATCAATTGCCGGTTTCAAGTTAAATTTGCTTACACCGACCCCACAATCTCCATAGTCCATGTCCGTGTCCGTGTCCGTCCACCGCGTCCGTCTTGTCCTATGCCAACCTCCACCTCCGACCGACTTTTTCTTCCCCATTTTCCCCATCAAACACCCAAACACAGCAGTAGACTATCAAACATCATGGCTACACCGGCGGTGTACTCCTCCCTCGACAAAGAAGACCGGGTCGACGACAAAAACCCCGGTCTAGCAAGCGACTCCCCCATCCCTCAAACAACAGACTTCAAAAGATTGTATAAGTTGGATAGTTGGCTGAAATGGTATGTCATAACTCTTGGCATATACCTAGTCGGTGCCATATTCTGCGTAGCGTGGTCGTACACCGGCGCACTGCTCGATAACGATGCTTCAAAACGTCGAGTCTTTCGAACAGGCGATTCTGTACCCGTTGATCAACTCTACTCTGGTATTGCGCTCTCAGCCCTCCTAGCACCAGCAGCTGTACTCGTTCAATTCGTCGTCTTTGATTTTCGGAGATTGCATTTATTCGCGCTCACGACGCAGCAACCTGTTGCGATTAGAGATCTGGATGATATCGCAGAGGGTGTTACGCTGTTGACGCTACCGGCTGTTATGAAGTATTCGTGGTGGTATGGAGTCATGCATACCTTTTTGATCATAACAAGAACGTTGCTTGTGCCGGTGGGAACGCTGTCGCTTACTGTTGGGCCGTATGGGCATTATAAGGAGGGCTGGGGTGTTGTGGGTGTTCCGATTGCGCGGGATGCAGTGGGGAGTAACGTCACGGCGCTTTCGACTGCGATGGGTGCGAGTCCGGACTTGGAGTTTCATCCGTCGCTTTCGAAGAATGATACGTTTTTGTCTCAAACGGTGTTCACGTTTGTGGGGAGTCTTGTTTCGCAGAATGCGTTGGCCAATGTTGACTCTGGCGTCTTGGGGCCTGTGCCTACTCACAACCTCACTTTTGCTACAAACACGACCTACGATGGGTTGGTCTTCTTCAACTGGACCGCTGCATGCGAGGCAGCTACTGAAGTGAACTATACTTCTTACAAAGAGGACGGCAACACGATTTACAACTTCACCCTCCCTGATGACAGCGTGGAGAGCATCGAGCTGCTTTCTCAAGGTTCACAGAGAATTCGACTCTGGAGTAACGCCTCAGTTCACGGCACAAACAAGATCCCAACGTCAGGCACGACGTACTTCCTCTCAGCTACGAAATCTATCCCGAATATCAACGAAACCGCTCTACGCAACAGAGGCAACGACAAGAGTTTGGTGCAAACAGACGGAGGAGACTGGATCTCTCGCACGAAATGCACGCCCTCCATCAGATGGCTCGTTGGCTCGTGCACCTTCAACGGCACGATAATGACATCCTGCACCGAAGCCCCAGGGTCCAACCAAACAGCGCTTGACACAGATGCTCTCGATGCGCTGGGCGTGTACATGTCTGCTATTCCATGGTACATCTTCCGCAACCAAATCGGCATTGTTGACGATACCCTCGATGCTCTTTACGCGATTCCCACGGCGGAAGACTTTGGTCACTTCTTTGGCAACATGGCTCACGCGATCGTGTCGATCAGCACAGCTGGATATTTCGGTACTTCATCTGTTCCTATGCTCTCCCACATCACGGAATCAGTGTACATCGTGCGCTGTAGTATTCTCATTGCCGTAACAGTCATGCTGTTCTTGTCGGTATCTGTCTCGATCATCGACATCATTCGGAATAGGATGAAGCATCTTCCTCAACTTCCAGCGTCGTTCCTTGCTATCGCACATGCTGTGAGGGGCTCTTGGTGGGATAACGAGTTGAGCGGCTACAGACCGTGGGATAAGATGAAGACGATGAGTGATGGGGCGGAGGCGGTCATGTTTGGCGTTGACACGGAAGACTCGAGATTCATCAGGCTTGCACCGTCTGTTGCACCGATCCGTTGTTGATTCGGTATATATAGCGCTTTTCAAGTAGCTACTGAGCAATTCATTTCCATCCCCTCGTTCTTCAATCTTGTCGTGAAATCATCCTGATAAACCTCCATGATTCAATCACCGCCGTGAAACCAAGCCATTGACCATCCCAAAAACATGAGCACATCCTTCCATCACTCCCCCGTAGCAAACCAATCATCAATCTCTTCAAACCACTCATCAACAGACGCATTGTTCACGGCATCACCCCAAGCCGGGGGGCCCTCGTACGGCAGTTTCGCAAGCTTGTAGTTGAGAGGGCGGGTGAATGTCTCGTCGAGCCAGACACCGCGTTTGATGGGCGTCTTCTCGACGTCAATGATCCTCCTCATGTTATCGCCAAGCTCGTTGGGGTCGGACTTGAACTTGTTGTGGATGATGAGGTCGAATTTGAGATCACCCATGTATTCGCCGTCGCCAGCGAAGTTGGCTTCCAGGAAGTCCATGCCGATGCAGGACCAGCTGAGGAACTGGGCGTTGTGGAGGCGCATCATCCACTGGAGACTATGTCATGTTAGCTACGCTCAACAAAAAATGAGAGGTGAGAGGTGAACTTACAGAGCGTCGCGGTATCCGTACAACTTGCCACCAGTCTCCTAAAACTTGAATCGCAACAAGTTGGTACGCTCCCCCTCCGGCAATCCTGCACGAGTACCCTGAAGAACATTGATGAAATCGATCAGAATGAGGTTCTCCTTCGGGTCCTTCTTCGAATTCTCGACGTCAAACTCAAAGATCAGAAGAGGATCCATGAACGGTTCACTCTTGAAACAAAATCGCACAGTGAGCTCGGCCTTGCCATCCGCAGTGGGCGCCATCCACATAGCGAAGCCATGAATGGCAGTGCGGTTGCCGTCCTCGTCGGCAAAGAGCACATTCTCGTTCAGCTCGAAGAAGAAGTGCTGGCGGCATTCAGTCTCACCGGGCAGCTGGTAGTACTGCAGAGACATGGCGATGAGGCCGGTGCGGGAGACGACGGCGAGATGAGGGTCTGTCTGACCGAGAATGTCAGACAGGGTGAATGTATCACGCGCAGGGGGAGGGACTTTCTCCCAGTCGCGCTCTTCAGTCAGCAGGGCGGTCTTCCAGTATGTACCGTGGTTCTTGGTAGGGTCGACACCTGTGGATGGGTGCATCGTGGCCGTGGCCCGTTTGGATGCATACTCGGCGGCCTGCATTTTACCGGTCTTGTAGACAACAGAGGCTACTCTGTTGGAACTCTATTCGTATACTCAGCTGGTGATAGGAACCGTATCCAAACACGGTTGGTGCTGGTTGTGTGTGGGTCGAGTTTGCGTGCAGGTCGTGGAGCAGGGAGACGAGAGGATTACGAAATATTTTACACTAGAGTTGCATGCCTACGGATAAACAAAAGGGTCATGCGAGCTCCTCAAAACCCTATATGGCAGACTACCCCTCTATCAGTGCAAGCACACTCACTCTTTCCTCTGCATGGCTCAGCGTTTCAGACATAACTGTCAAATGTCCTTCGTCTCCTTTACTCACACGCCTTTCGTCCGCTCTTGTCGTGTGCGCAGCTTTAATATGTTTTTATTTTCCCATGACTGATTCCCTTTTCTTTGCAAATACAGCAAAACTTGGCCAATCTTCAAGCCAAACACTCCTCTGCAAACACAATCACCAAGACAAAAGTGACAAAAGGAGATCATCCAAACATGACTCATATACCACCTCCTTCCCAGATTCCATGCCTCGCTGCCGAATCGTTGCTTTCCTGATCTTTCCTCTCACAGTTCACTCTCGGACCCTGATCCATTATCAGACACGAGGTAAGGCGCGTATCTGAGCTGCGAGCGGATAGACCTTGACCGAAGATCATATTCAGACTTAAATTCAACCTCCAGATTGGACCCCGCATCTCCCTCAGATCCAGTATCCGAATCTGTGCCAGAGGATGAGCTCGCTCCTTCGACGTAGAGCCGCAGAACCTGCCCCTGCCACCTCTTCTTCATCTTCGACAGTCTCTTCGCATAATCCAAAGTCGACTCCTCGGGCCACCGGGCTCTTCCGCCGTAAAGCAACACTCTCGCTTCCACGTACCCACCCCAGGGAACCTCCTCCTGAGGACACCCCGAGTCACTTTCAGAGGCAACACGCATCTGGTCCCTGAATCGACCACAAATAAGCCATTCCCGCACAGCTTCTGTTCCAGCAACCAGAAAACAGCTTATGAACCCCTTCTTGCTCATGTACGTTACTGAAGCCCCATTGCGGACGAGGAGCTTGACGGTATCCAGACTCCCGCAAGCGCTTGCATTCATGACCGCTGATCCAAAACAGGAACCTTCAAAGTCGATGTCAGCGCCCATCTCAAGACAGTTCGCGACAATATCAACGCGATTCAAAGCGGCCGCGTGGCATAAAGGACTCCAGCCACGCGATGGCTCAAGATTCAGGATTTTGCGGAACAGGTCAGCCGGCACTTTCTTTTGAAGCCTCTCGAATGAAGAGGTTAGAAAAGCAAGATCAGAAAATCCACACCACTCCAAGTGCCACGGAAAAGGGGTCGTTCCGCTTAGATCTTGATCAGAGCCCAACATCCAATCAACTAAATCTTCTTCGCCCAAGATATAATGCATCATACTCCGACCCGCCTCATCCTCGCCCAGCAGATCGAACTTCAACTTAAGTAGTTTGTCCAAAGCTTCGGGGGTGGGTGACACTTCCTCACAATTTGTCGAGAATCGTGGTGGATCTGACACAGTCAAGAACTCCCTCGGTAAACGTGACAAGCTGACAGGGTGCGCTTCATCAAACAGACTATCACCAAACCAGTTGATCAATGACGCAAGTGATCCGAACCTGCAAACTGCAGCCATCGATGCCCCAAGCGAGACCAAATGCTGTGCTGTGTCAGCATCTTTCGAATACATGAGAGGCGTCCATCCATTCGAATCGGCCGCATCAATATCAGCTCCCCTATTCAACAGGAGCGAGATTGCCTTCTTGTTCCCATTCCACGCAGCGCTATGTAGTGCTGTCGTGCTTGCGCTATGTATCCAGGTTTGCCAGCTGTTTTCGCAGGAGAAATCCCTCAACAACAAATAGCTAAGTACGTCCTTGAACATGTGTGAGGACCTATAAGAGGTTTAGTTACTTGCCGTCACACTCCTTACATCTGCTTACCTGATATAGTGTGGGTACTCTTCTGCTACCTCAAGTAGTATCTCGAGACCCTTGGTGTTCCCTTTGTCGATTGCTTCATGCAATGGGAGCTCAAACCCAAATTTCAAATCGCCACCTTCCAAAAGATACTTCAGAAACAGTTCTGGCAACAAAGGATTGAGACTTGATCGGCCGGCAGCTATGTCGATCACGTTCTCCAAGACTTCGCCCTCAAGATCCGCTTGCAAAGCACTGGCTCCTTCTTGCAACAGCCACTCCCCCATGACAAGATTCTCTTCCTCCAAAGCTACTAGAAGTGCGGACAATCCTTGCCTTGATGGGAGTGGGACATCGACAGGGCACCCTTGATAAATCAAGAGTTTCATGCTCTCATAGTCCTCTTCTTCCATGGCTCTTTCGAACGAGATTGCCAAGCGCTCTATTGGTTCAACTGATTCGGCGAGTTCTTGAAAAGATGACAATTCTTTAGAGCCACCTCGAGTATCCCCTCCCAGGAACTCGTAGATACCGTCGAATCCAAGCTCTAAAGAAATTCGCCTTGGGGTCCTGCCGTTTGCATCTAGAGTTTGAGAGGCACCATGTTCAAGTAAGCATTGGACTGTAGGCAGACTCCCGCCCAATACAGCCATGTGTATTGGAGTGAAGCCAAATCGACTTTCTGCCATCACGTTGAACCCTTTTTTAAAAAGAAGCTTCATGATATCGACGTAACCTTCATAGGCAGCGATATGTACTGGTGTTAGCCCTTCATCTGATATCGAAGCCTTGTCCATTTCTGAAGCGTACTCAAGAATAACCTCCATGCATGCAACGCTATTACAGGCTGATGCCAAATGGAATGCGTTCCCGTTTTTTACCACTGCTGTTTGGTCAAGATGCTGGATATTGAAGGTCACTGGATCAGACCATCCGAATATTGCCGACGGATTTGTTTTCTGATTTAAAATCTTCTGTAGAAACGATAGATTGTCACTGACAATACAAGCGAGAATCGCATCCCTAGAAGGGTCCGCTCCCAATTCTAGCAATTTCTCTGCAAACTGGAAAGAAGACTGTTGGAGGTGATAGACGAGAGGAGTTGTTGCAAGAAAACCTGACCCGACATTGTTTACATCGAATCCACGTTGCACAAGCGCTTCCATCAACCAAATGATATTGGTTGCGTCCTCCGATGTGGCAAGCGTATGGAGAGGTGAATTGTTGCTTGTTTCAGAAGAATCCTTCAATATCTCCTCAATGCTGCAACACTCCAATAGATTATGGAGAACCTCAGCTCCCTCCTCAGTGCTACAGAGATCAATCGCCACGCGAGCACTAAATGCGATTTCAAATGGTGTTTGGCCATTCACACGATGATGGGGGTTGGCTCCATACTTGACGAGGAGCCGTATCATGTCGAGGTTGACACGATTTATCACATCTTGGAACAAGAGAGATATCGAGTCAGAGTCTTGTATACCATTCCAATACTTGGTTTGTAGGATGGCATCACGAATGACAGACATCAGTGGGGTTTGATGATTGGAAAGAAGTGGTTTCAATCCACTTTCTTTGAATTGTTCCTCATAGACACGCATCGCCCCACGTTGAAACATGATTTCTATCATCGTTCCAAAGTCAATCGTGTTCATGTATCGTGCCTTGCTGTACCGGTCGTTGTCTGGTAGATAACAGGCAAAGTGCCACAAGCTCTGCTTCTCGCTCGACTCAGAGTCTCTTAGATTGTCAGGGAAAAGGCTCATGATAATATTGTGTTCCGGATCCTTGCGATTGTCGAGTGTAGACCTGATATACGTCTCAAGCGGTAATCTGCCATTAAGTCTGGAATTAAGCGCCTCTGGATAAAGCTTGGTAAGTAATTGGACTTGACTCAGAGAGATCCAGGCATTCAGTTTGTGCAATGGTGTAGGATTGGTCCCTATCATGCTGTCGAACTCGGAAAAGGCCTTCCTCAGGCAGCTGACGCTCGTTCCGGTCACTAGGCTCGTGTCACTCCCTTTTTCTCGGTGGTATCTCTGTAAGAATCCCAGAACCTGAAGGCAGAGTCTATTCAAGTCAAGGTCCCGGTGTTCACTTCTTGGGCTCTCCCCAGCACTTTTGAACACCATAGTCAATGGCGTATCACCACGGAATGTTCTTGTCTGAAGCCCTTTTATCGCCTCTTCTGCATCTAGATCAAATATCCCATTGACAAACTCATAATTCAAGGGACGGTCTTGAGCCCAGTAATGTAAGTTGTTGTAGCCATCTCGGTCTTGACTGACCAGAGATATTCCAAGATCTTTAAAGACCTTAAAGGGTCGCGAGCTGCCTTGACGCTCGCACAAGTGAATTGGTAGGTCGCCTTTGTCGTTGTAGGTATAGGGATCGAACCCTGCGTTGACCAAAGCTTTGAAGACGTTAAAGGCGTTATGCTTGACTGCCAGGTGTAAAAGGCCGTTGACCGGACCGGAATATCGAACTTGGTTTTTCAGTCTCCTATCTTCGACGCAATACTTGAGCAGCTCAATATTGTCGCTGCAAACAGCTGAAACAATTTGGGAAACCAAATTATCGTCCGACATCAAGGCGCAAGAACCGACTAAATTCAAATCTCTTGTTAGGGAGAAGTCACATTCTTGGGCCCAATTCCACACAATCAGGCCCATCTCAGCACCCCAGTCGGTATTGTATGCTCCAGTTGAACTAAGGAATTTCAAGAGCATGCGCGTCGATACTTCTGCCACATGATTTGAAGTTTCAGTAGCCACGAGCCATTCTTGAAGCACCTTGACCTCAGGCACTGAGGGGATGGTGTAAGCGCACAAGCACCGAAAAACGGGGTAAAGGTCATGAAATATTGATGCAAACAAGCAGGCGATAGAGAAAACGGAAAGCGTATTGGGTGGGATCAAATGGTCTGAAGAACGCGCTCCAGCATGCATCAAGCAGTCAACCGTCATGTTTCTTCGACGAGATGAAGGTAAGAATTCATCTCTCGGGGTCCTCATAAGATCGTGACGTTGGTCCTTCTCCCCACTCATTTCTGGCAGTCCAGGAACTGCCAAAACAGACATTAATGCGAGGTCTAGAGGGGTTGCGGAATCCAGCTTATAGTTTACATCCGAACCATTTCTGATCAAAAAGTTGCATATCTCTGGAAGATTCAAAGCAGCAGCCATGTGCAATGGCTTAAACGAAGGGACCATCACTATCCTCCAAGCATGTTTTTCAGTCCCATTCCGTTGTTCATATCTCGTCCCGATGCCAGTGGCATACATAACATTCTTGAAGACCTCAACAGCCCAGCACATAAAATATGCTCGCTTGGAAGGCTGGAACAGAGACTTTGCTAACTCGAGAATTTCGGGGTCACCGAGTCCATCTTTTGTGAGCTTGATCCATAAGATAGCGGCAGTCTGTAGAAGGGGTAGCTGTTGTCCCTTTGGCGAGTGGCTGCAACTTGCTTGTTCGGTTCATCAGGCATCTTATCAAAGTTCTCCATCTGAAGAAACCTTAGACACTGTCTAGCAAGCAGGAAGTTTGTCATGGATCGGGCAATCCAGTACTTTTCTATGCCAGTCGTTTGAGAAATTGCCTTCTCGTCTTCCAGGAATTCGCGGACAGAGAAGTGGGCAAACTCGAAGTACTTCCCATTTGTAGATTTCCGGATGAGGCTGCTGCACCTCTTTAGTATTTCGTATTCCGGTACAATATTGCTCTCGTCTAGAGTTGCACCTATCGCTGGTGTTGAGACTGCTTGTCGAAGCTCAACTATTGTCAACTTTGGATCTGCCACAGCCATGAAGTGAAGACACATCTGGGCCATGTTTTGTACACCAACAGAGCAGTTGTTAACTCGCTCAAGAAGGCGACGATAGCTCTCAGGAAGATCAGGCGGAAGCTTGCCCAAAGCCTCGCGGCGCTCCTGGTCATGAGCACAGTTGCACAGGTAGTCAAGCTGGCAAACTACCCATCTGAACCTAGATTCCGTTATTTCTGCTTGTAGTACACAATCACGTTGGGTCTTACATCCCATCAGCCTTTCCCACCAAAGCGCTCCGGATCTCCTCTTTCATATGCGCACTGGTCAGCTGCAGTTGTCGTGTGCGAATCCTCTTATCAACTTCGGCATTGACGTAGAGTTCAACATCCTCAGTATGTGCTGCTATTTGAATAGGTTCGAATTCTTCTTCGAGCCGTGCCCGAATGTTGTAGTGATCCCGGCTGAAAAGGGCCATTGAGAGTCTCTCAGAATAGGCGGCTACCTGGATCAAGCTGTCCACCACTTCATCAGTCAAATCATCGCACTCATCGAGACCATCGACCACAATAATGGTTTGATCGAAAGTCTCACACATTTGGCTGATCTGAGCTCGTAGTTCGTCTATATCTGCAGTCTGTGGGAGTCCTTTTGGTGGGTAGAGACTTTCGTAATACGCGTCTAGGACATTATATGATTCATTGTTTTGACGTGCAAGTTGAGAAGCCAGTGCACCAAGGATATTCACTGTGTCCCACGTTTTGGATTCCTTGTAATCACAAAAGAAAAATGCCACTCCTATCCTGCGAGAAGCGTAACTGCGAGAAAGGGCCTCTTGAATGACGGAGCCAGCGAGGACTGTTTTCCCTGCTCCAGGTATGCCAGTCAGCCAGAGCTTGGAGCCTGGTGTTTCAAGCCAACGAATAAAAGTTGGCGACTCAGTCAGCCAAAGTCCTGTCATTGAATGACGAAGCCTGATACTTGTTTGTAGTGCGAGTTGTGGATTCGCTTTCATGAAATGATCAAGAATGCGCTTTTTTCGGTCATTGATGGCTATCATGGTGTTGATCTCGATCTTTCTGGCCACCTCTCCTAACGCCGTAATCTTCTTGTCTATATCATCGGATTTTGAAAGCGACAGTTGTATCTTCCGCATTGAGTCGGCAAGTAAGGCAACACTAATGGTTTCCTTATGTCGAGACAGCTCGGCCAGAAGCTCTTTCGTTTCCGATGATGAGAAGGGCCATTTGAGCTGTCGAACGATGCCGTCAAACTTGGACTTCTTGAAGCTTTCTGAGGCTTTCTTGACTCTTAATTCAATCCTGTTGAAGGTCTTGAAGCAGTGATTAAGATAGTGGTTCCTCAATGTAGGGTCGAAGGATTGTCCTTCATCCTCCAGATCTGATGTCAAAGCCTCGAGGCGTCGCAACACGCTTGCGAGATTATTAATCTCGTCGACAAGGCTCTGGATCTCATCCTTTGCATCTTTGGCGGCTCTGACGAATTTGTATGTGGTTTTGAAGACAAGATCGGCAAGTGAGATCAAGCCGGCGATGCTAGCAGCAAGAGAGAGGGGATCGGCCATGGCGAGTGGCTGTAGCAGTATTATTGCGTTTCTATATTGATCATTATTGAAGAAATTAACTTTACCCCGAGAAATGGATATCGAGAGTTATCATGCCATCCCCGCATGGTGCGGCTGATAGGAAGGTGAGATCATGCAAGTCATGTCAGCCCTCCACGCAGAAGGTGCCTTACTGCAGTTTCTGCCTAAAGCAGTCGCACCCAACCTCAGACCAGGCCTTTGAAAGCGGCAAAATACCCTATTTCAACCCGTACGTTATTACCTGTCTGGCTGGATTTACTGCGAAACGGAATTTCCAATAACATGGCTAGAACAATCGTGATCTCCTCAAGAACTTCTGTTATCCTGTAGAAGTTGTCCTTGCTCTTCTCACAGCTGTACCTGGATCTGACTAGGCTACAAGATCTCAAACTCTTCGGGCAACTCTTTCTCCTGAACCCAAGCAGCAATTCCAGCAGCAAACAACTCTGGCAGTTGTAAATGCCAAGGATGATAAGCATCTCTCACAACGACAGCCTCATTCTTGACTCCCTTCTTCTGCCCTCCCTCTCTCAGAATAACACCCATATCTCGTACAGGATCAATCTGATCCATCTTCCCTCCCGAAATAACACAAGTTCTGACTCCAGAATCTGCAACAGCTTTGACATCCTCCATACTAAAGGTACTGAGCTCCTTATTCATCGCCTTGGACCTCTCTGGTGAGTGGTTCTTCTTCGCTTCGGCAAGCCATTCTTCATAGTCAATTCCCTGCCGTCGCAGCGATGCCTCAAGCACACCAGGGATGTTCTGTATGCAGTTCGCAATCGACATCGCCATCGGGTGTTCCATGAACCACTTAAACATCCCCCTGTAAGGATAAGCACCCGTTGCGAACGTCGACAACACGACGTCGGGATGGCGAGATGTGAGAACGAGAGCAATAAAACCACCCAGAGATAGACCAACAACATGTGCTTTTCCGCCGTGGGCGTGCTTTTGAATGACTTTGCATATTTCGTCAGCAGCTGATGCGAGTGTCAACGGGCGCCCGATGTCCCAGGATCCAGAATGCATCGGAAGGTCAACGAGGATTAGATGATAAGAGGACAGTGATTGCTGGGGAGCAACCAACTTCCACTCAACATGACTGCCTCCACCACCATGTAAGAAGACTATCGATTCATTCTGGTCTTTGTTGCGTTCTTCGAAATAGAGTAGTTTCTCTTCGTCAATGGGTACTTCCGACATGTTCAGGGTAGTTCGGGAACGAATTATTTACACAAAGTATAATGGCTTTTGACAGCAGCGAATCATATATAATCCTAACAAGTTTAACAGGAACGGGAACTAATTGGGGCTTGGCACGTATTTGAAGTATCTGCAATAGCCTTTGGGAGAACTAAACTCTCATGACTGCTGAGCTTCCGGGTAATCGGCAGACTTTGGTGATAAGGAACCAACATGCATACGTATCACAGCTCAACATTAGTCAAATCAATACGAGAAATCATTACCCTGGAAAGACTCGGTTCAAAAGTTCATAAAATACTCAGATAAAGGTCAATCAGCTCGCTGTCCTCCAATAACCCGGATTTGGAAAACTCTCATTCCAATCCACTGTCATGATGAACGCAGGAGGGTCAAAGACAGGGGTAATCCACGCCACAGCGCACGTGGACCCACCCCCATCACAAGCTAACTCGAGCTACCCCAGATCCTCACCTTGAACCCTCAACCTTACCCCTTCACCAACCCATTCTATCGACGAAATATCCGACCGCCAGAATGGCCGGTATCAGACTCCGCGATGTCAGCGGGTATCTGATCTTGCTCATCGCCATCACGACCCTGGGGTCGTTGCAGTTCGGTTTTCACTTGGTACGTTTCCCCAAAGCTCAGATCACCATGATAATTATCCAGCTAATAACCCTCTAGGCTGAACTCAACGCACCCCAGGATGTTATTACATGCCGCAAGAAATCGATCTCCGCCCTCGACAAGATCAAAGGGCTGGTCTACAAACCGAAAGACGATGATGCTGTTTCTGGCTTCATGCCCCATTGTATTCCCATGGACGAGGCTTCATTTGCGACGATATCTTCAATCTTCATGCTTGGTGGGCTGTTGGGAGCTTTGGCCTCTGGACCCTTCTCGTCAAAACGGGGACGCCTTCCTGCGATGCGCATCACGGGTCTCCTCTATTTGTTTGGAGCAGCTGTTGAGACCGTCGCAGGAAGCGTCTTCGTCATGGTTCTCGGTCGCTTGTTTGCTGGTATCGGAGCTGGAGCTTCGACTGTCGTTATCCCTCTTTACATCAGCGAGATTGCACCACCCAAGGAACGTGGGCTGTTTGGCTTCATGACGCAGATCTCGATCAATTTTGGTATCCTGGTGGTTCAGACCATGGGATTCTTCCTGAGCTACGGCACTGCTTGGAGATGGATTCTTGCTACTGGAGTCTTCATCGCAACCGCGCAAACTCTGGGTCTCTTCGTTGTCCCAGAGAGTCCATCGTGGTTGGCAGCACAGGGAAATGCGCCCAAGGCCAAACGGACCCTCCAGAGAATTCGTGGCAACGGCTACGACATTCATGAGGAGACTGAGACCTGGGACTCAGATGACCGTGATGCTTCCGAGGAAGATGGCTTGCTTCAGGCGGATAGTGCCTCTGAATCACCATCAAAGAACCGGACCGAGCATCTTGGATTCTTCGAAGTACTGAGGGATCCTGACACCAGGCCTGCAATCGTCGCTGTCGTGGGCATTATGTTTGCCCAGCAGCTCTGTGGTGTCAACTCGATCATCATGTACTCCGTGTCTCTTCTTGCCGACTTGCTGCCAGTTTCTTCATCTCTGCTCACTATTCTTGTTTCTGTTGTTAACTTGTTCACCACTATCGCATGCGCGCCTCTTCCAGATCGTCTCGGTCGCAAGACTTGCCTCCTTGCCTCGATTATCGGACAAGGAACAAGCGCGCTCATCCTGGCTATCTCGATCATCTTTGGAATCAAGATCCTCTCAGCTATTGCCGTCGTGGCGTTCGTCGGCTTCTTCGCAGTTGGTCTGGGCCCAGTACCATTCCTGATCTCCTCCGAGCTGGTCGGACAAGAGGCTGTTGGCGCAACGCAAAGCTGGTGTCTTGCAGCCAACTACGCAGCGACTTTCCTGGTCGCTCAATTCTTCCCAATCGTAAACTCAGCTCTTAACGATTTGCTAGGTGGCCACGGATGGGTCTACTTTATCTTTGCAGGTCTAGCCGCTGGATCTGCTATCTTTGTGTTCTGGAACGTGCCAGAAACTAAGGGTAAGAAGGACGTTGATGAGGTTTGGGGCAGGACAAGGCGCGTTGATTAGAAGCCTGCGACAAATGCCGCCTTGACATATCATCGATGAGCGTTCACAATTGCTATAAAGCGGGAGGTGCACGTGTGGAATGATTTGTTCATTTGTATTCAAGCAGCGTACTCTAGACATTCGCAGATATGGCTCTACAGATAGGACGAAGCGCTTGCTGATTTACCGAAAGATTCGCTTGCTGCGGATCATCTGCTCCAACTGCATGACGCCCGCCTTTACTCCATCGATGATGTAGACAAGGTTACCATCAGCCTTGCCGTACTCCTCGATAGCCGTTGATCGGATGATTTCCTCCAAACCAGCCATACCACCGCATCCCATGAGCACAACCGACACTTGTCCCTCATTAAGCAACTTCCGTGTCGCCTCCTTGAGCTTCTCCCTTACCTTCTCCGGAGGAACAGTGTGAAAGTCACCCGCCGTAAGCCCAGACGAGAAAACACCAGCAAACTTGCTATTCACACCGTCCTTCTCCTGCCCAAGGAAGTTCTTAACACCATGCGACAAATGGTCCTCCCACCACTTTCCAGTAGTGACGATTCCCCATTTTCCTGCATTATCCGGCGCAGCCATCAGCGAAAGAGACGTGAGAATACTCGCTTCAAAAATCCCCGTCACTGCAAGATGTCGATACCTAGTCAAATTCGACACCAAGCAATGAACGCTGAAGCACGCAACGAGAACGCCGTCGTACTTATCAGACTCGAGCTCCTCCTCGATCTTGGGGTCATCGAGAACGGCTTGCGTGCTGCGGTCGATGCCCTCTTGGTCGTTGATGCTGTCTGGGGCGGAGTGGGGAGGCGCTGTGTAGGTATATATCTCAACTGACTTTTGTGACACATCAGCCTGTGTAGAATTGATGACTTGTTGTTTTAGTCTGTGTATCATACGTCTGGGAGTGACATTTGGCGGATGGCGTTGGCCATGCCGTCTGTCATGATGGTGGATGAGTTTGGGTTTAGGACGAGGATGCGGAGATTCCGCCGGAGGAAACGGAGCTCGGACATGATGGCTGATACAAAGACTCGACGATAAAATAAAGTAATATATTTACAGCTTGATGAAGCTCTAAAACTGTTCTTACACTGAATTCTCTCACTTCTCTTGAGAGGGGTCTCTTCTACATGACGGCAACTAAACAGCTCGCGGGGCGCCACGTGATCCGCCTCAGCCACCTCTGACGACGGTCGGCCACTCGAACCCCACTACTGACGACCACCTCAACCTCCTCTAAGCTGAAGCTCCCATATACCAACACGACACCTCCTCGGCCTCACAACCCTCCCAATACATATCCCCCGTCGTGGCCCATCGCCATAATGTCTAACCCTCCACCCATTGGTAAGCTTCCCCTCTCTCCCCGCAAGCTCCAGAAGCTCCCATATCTCCCCTGACGGAAGCTGACTTTAACCTCTACCGCTTAGTCCTCGACGGAGGCACCGGTTTCCTCAAGGTCGGATATGCCGCGCAGAACTTCCCCGAGCATCAATACCCCTCCATCGTAGGCCGACCGATCCTTCGTTCCGAGGAGCAGACCGATAGCGATGTTGTCATCAAGGATATCATGTGCGGTGACGAAGCTGCCGCTGCGAGAACAATGCTCCAGATCAGCTACCCCATGGAGAACGGCATCGTTAAGAAGTGGGACGATATGGAACATCTTTGGGATTATACCTTCTACGAGAAGCTCAAGGTCGATCCTACGGGCCAGAAGATCCTCTTGACGGAGCCTCCTATGAACCCTCTTAAGAACCGAGAGAAGATGTGCGAGGTTATGTTTGATAGATATAATTTTGGCGGTGTCTACGTCGCCATCCAGGCCGTTCTGGCTCTATACGCTCAAGGTGAGTTTACCCAGAAGCTCCAATGCTTCTTGCGCAAAAGTTAGTGCTAACCAATGCGGTGTAGGGCTTAGCTCCGGTGTCGTAGTCGACTCTGGCGATGGTGTCACACACATTGTGCCCGTCTACGAATCCGTGGTCCTCAACCACCTCACGAAGCGATTAGACGTTGCTGGCCGAGACGTCACGCGCAACCTCATCAAGCTGCTGCTGCGTCGCGGCTACGCTCTCAACCGAACCGCCGATTTCGAAACCGTCCGCCAGGTCAAGGAGAAGCTATGCTACGTGTCATACGACCTGGAGCTCGACAAGCGCCTGAGCGAGGACACCACTGTGCTCGTTGAGGATTACACCCTGCCGGACGGACGTGTGATCCGCGTTGGTAGCGAGCGTTTCGAAGCGCCCGAGTGTCTCTTCCAGCCTCACCTCGTCGATAGCGAATCACCCGGTCTGGGCGAATTCCTCTTCAACACCATCCAATCAGCCGATGTTGATATTCGCTCGTCTCTGTTCAAGGCTATTGTTCTGTCTGGTGGTAGCAGCATGTATCCTGGTCTTCCGTCGCGATTGGAGAAGGAGCTCAAGCAGCTGTGGCTCACACGAGCGCTGCAGGGCAACCCTGAGCGTTTGAGCAAGTTCAAGGTGCGGATAGAAGATCCTCCGCGACGTCGACACATGGTGTTCCTTGGTGGAGCGGTGTTGGCCAACATTATGGCGGACAAGGAGAGTATGTGGGTTACCAAGGCGGAGTGGGAGGAGGAGGGTACTAGAGTGCTTGAGAAATTGGGACCGCGATAAGAGAGAGCCTCTGAGCGTTTGTTAGAGGGGATGGTATTTTGCGTTCAAGTTAGTTTGTGGTAGACAGCAAGAAAAGACGTTATGAAGATCATGTTGCCTTGACTGGGGGTCTCATTTCTTTGTCGATGTCAATTGAGCTAATTGACCATTCTAGATAACTTTCAATGATAAGACCATTGAGAGCGATAGCATGAGAAGTATAGTTCATGATCATTCCAAAAGCGTGTCCAATGTAACCATCACCAACAAGCTTGACACCAAAAAGCCAGCTTAGTCATCACTAATATGTGACAAACAGTCGCAAAGTTCTGGAACACGAGGCATGAATCTCAATCATACCAAACCCATTCTCACCTTTATCTTCTGTCGCAGTCGCTCCCATCACCAGCGCAACCGATCGCTTCACAGCCAGACTCATAACCATCTTATTCCCAAGCTCCACAGGGGGCTCCGCAGCGATTACCCCATATCGCGTCTCTCCCCAAAGGAATAGAGATCCGCGCCGCAAAGAGGCTTCGAGACTGGAAACTGAGCACAACGGCTGCAGTTCCCGAGAAACCTTACAGTGCCATACCGTTTTTACTAGAGTCTGCGCGCCAAAGTCAAAAAGGGAGAAAGGGTGCAGTACGGGATACACAACTCGTATGCGCATCCTATCAACTCTCACGCGTCGTGCATTAGAACGAGAAAGCGAAAATCCATTACCTACGCTTTATTACTATTCTTTCCCCGCGCGGGGAACCCTTTTCCCTTTTGAATTGATACCAGCGGCGTACACTACATACGGACGGGCACATCCAATCTCCTTTCCTGTGGGTGATACTCCACTCGCAAATCATTGATTGAGAGAATCCCGCTTACGGGGACAGAGAGAGGGAGACAGTGCTCGGAAGGACCGTTCCGTTTTTTGAGGGTTCCGGCGCGAGTAAATGAGTGTAACGAATCCGCCGACGGGGGCTTCGGGCCCGGGATCCGTTGGCTTGGGTGCCGTCAGGGGGAGTTTGAAGAGGAGTGTTCAGGCGTCTTTTGAGGGTGAGTCTGTTCTATTTTCCTCTCTGATAATCCTCATCTTTTGGGTTTGTCACATCTCGCGAGCATATATCGCCTATCTAAAGTTCCTTGTCTCCTATATCGGTCACACTGCACTAGTCTACTCAGCCGTTGCATGCATTTGTATCTCTTCCGTGTCCATTCAATTTTCATTCTCAATTTCCACGTACATAATCTTGTCATCAGCTACTCTGATTTACTTTTCCTTTTTTTTTATCGTCCTTCTCCTCCTATTTAAAGTGTCCTTTTTTTGCCTCACTCGGGGTTTGCCGCATATTTGCCCAAAGAGGGAAATGATTATCCTGAGGTGTCGACTTTGAACAACGACTTGCCTGAGTCGGACTCAACTCAACTCAGCTCAGCTCAGCTCAGTCTCGGTTCGGCCGAACTATCAACTCGACGTCTTTTTAAAAGTCTCATCAGCTGAAGCGACTTGTCTTCTCTTGTCTTGTCTGTCATCGTCATCGCTTGTTTTAATCTTTCGGTGTCTCGTTCTCTTTTTTCCGTCTTCGGCGTCTAATAAACTTCCGTTGCTTTTTGTCATTAAAGCTGTGGACCTCGACCAGCCTTTCACATTTCGCCTCAATCACTCACCATCGTCATCTCACTCATCTTCCGTGCCAATGCCGAGTGGTTGAACGCACACCTCACCAGCAAGACACAAGCCTTGATACTCGGCGATGCCTCTTCGTCCTCACATCGGCCTCGGGTTTCCTGCTCACGCTTACCAAAAACGTCATGTAGAACCTCACGATCGCTCAACCGGGTATCAGCCCAAAGTTCGAATTACAGATCGTTACCGCATCATTGGCTTCATCAGCTCGGGTACCTATGGACGGGTCTACAAGGCTGTTGGCCGGAATGGCAAGCCTGTCGGTGAATTCGCTATCAAGAAGTTTAAGCCCGACAAGGAAGGTGAGCAGATTAGCTACACGGGCATCTCTCAGAGTGCGATCCGTGAGATGAGCCTTTGCAGCGAACTTCACCACATCAACGTCATTCGTCTTTGCGAAATTATGCTTGAGGACAAGTGTATCTTTATGGTGTTTGAGTATGCCGAGCACGATCTATTACAAATCATCCATCATCACACACAACAGCCACGACATCCGATTCCCCCGGCAACCATCAAAAGTATCATGTTCCAGCTCCTTAACGGATGTCAGTACTTACACATAAACTGGGTTCTTCACCGTGATCTCAAACCTGCCAACATCATGGTCACTTCGTCAGGCGAAGTAAAGATCGGAGACTTGGGTCTAGCACGTCGTTTTGACAAACCTTTACACTCCCTCTTTAGCGGCGATAAAGTTGTCGTTACTATCTGGTATCGTGCTCCCGAACTCATTCTAGGTTCGTATCACTACACGCCTGCCATCGATATGTGGGCTGTTGGGTGTATTTTTGCCGAACTTCTTTCCTTGAGGCCGATATTCAAAGGAGAGGAAGCCAAAATGGATAGCAAGAAGACGGTTCCCTTTCAACGCAACCAGATGCAAAAGATTATCGAGATCATGGGTGTGCCAACAAAGGATAAATGGCCCCTTCTGCCGACCATGCCCGAATACAATCAACTCAACACTCTCGCCAACTCCATGGCATCATCTCACCACGGTCACCACAGCCATCATCATCCTCATCACCATCACGGCCACTACGGCTCCCGCAACCCACCACCCCCTCCCCCAGGCGGCTCGAACCTCGAGAAGTGGTATTACAGCACTATCAACCACACCAGCGCCCCCGGCGGTACACCACCACTAGCCTCTCTCGGCTCAGAAGGCTACAAACTCCTTGCTGGTCTTCTAGAATACGACCCCTCAAAGCGTCTCACAGCCGCCCAAGCTCTTCAATCTCCCTTCTTCTCAACCGGCGACCGTGTGAGTGCGAATTGTTTCGAGGGCTGCAAGAACGAGTATCCATGTCGACGAGTGAGTCAAGATGATAACGATATACGGACGAGTAGCCTTCCCGGTACGAAGCGGAGTGGATTACCGGACGACTCGTTGATAAGGCCTGCCAAGAGGCAGAAGGAGTAGGATTCCAAGGTGGTAAGAGGCCGTGCCCGACGAACTGTTCGTCCTTTGGTCGTTCACCCACCGATCATTGGGCCTCAACCAATTATTCACCCTCAGATGGTTTACTGCCAGATTACTCACCCATCCTCATGTCTCTGTAGACAGTGTGTAACGAAATCTTTGCATCGACGGTCAGGGAGAGGGTTGTATCCCTGATTGTTATTCGGCGTGGTACGGCGTTTTTGTATACATGGATTATGGCTGTCAGTTTTGGGCCGAGCGGATAGATAGAGCGGTTGTTATAGCATATACCCGGCGTTTAATATAATGGAGATTAGTTTACTACAGCTTATTCGCGATACAGGTGAAAGTTGATGGTCCATCCTGGGAAGGACAGCGGGTGGTAGTCCTCACGTCCACGTTCTTGAACGGCATGCAACAAGCCGTGAGCTGATCTGCTCTATACCAGAGCTGAGGAATAACTGGATAAGAGAGAGTACGAGGAAGCACTGCTGTTAGCAAGAAAGGAGCAGTCCCGTACAGCTTGGAGGATGGACTGCTAAGCACAAGGATGCATGAAAAGTTTAAATATCGTTGTATTTATCTCACTTCACCCCAACTGCCTACCCTCCATCTGTCACTAAACCCACATTGCCAACTCACTCTTCTTCTCCCAGCCATCTCACATCACCACCCCAGAAGAAGTAAAAAAAAAAAAAAGGTGCCATATCATTAAGACAAATACCATAAAAAGGGGCCCAGTGACATTATTTTAACACAGAATCTCTTCTCTTTCTTTCACCAACGATACGGAAAAGCAAGAGCGCATAAAGACAGCAACGACAAAGATTTCAACAATACAAAAAAGACTTTCGAGGTCGACATGCCTCAGATACGTCTGCCTATCTCTTCTCTCTCTCTTTTTTCACAAACTGCCTGCCCACCCGTGTGAATTATCTATCATTTTTGTGTGTGTAATTTCCTCCTCACATCCCCCCTTCATCAACAAGAGTTCAAGTTTTACTTCCCCCGTGGGAAATAAGATAATAAAAGAATTAAGAAAAAAAGAAGAAGCAAAGATATGATAAACAGTCCGGGTATTTCAGCAAATTCGGCGAGTTGTTTTGGTGTGAGGAGTTTGGAAAGGGCGTAGATGAGGGTTTGAGGGGTGATTTCTCCGTATGGAGAGGAGGGCTGTTATGATCCTGAGATGTGGTGTAGGCGGGATATCCTCCTTTGCCTCAAGCGCGGTAAAGCTTGTAGCCTCTTGATATCGAGACGTAGGTTCAGGAGGAGAAAAGAATTAGGGATCGTTTCGGGATAGTGTGGTAGTTGGAAAGCCCTCAGGGTGAAGACGAGAAACGTCGCGTGACTCGCTCCTCGTCTACTTCTTAGCCGGAGTCGGAGGGGCCTTGACATTGTTGGACAACCACGCCAGACCCTCGAGAAGACCCTCGCCTGTGGTGGCGCAGCTGGGCACCACGTACCAAACCTTGTCCTTGAGCTTGGAGAGCTGAAGGGCCTCGGTGACTTCTTGGGGTTTCATAGCTGTACCTAGTTAGCGGAATCGTAGCTCGGGGGTTTAAGGGAGACATACCCTCTGCCAAATCTTGCTTGTTGGCAAACACGAGTAGTAGACTGTCCTTCATCTCACGATCGTTGATGATTCGGTGAAGTTCTTGTCTAGCCTCCTCCATTCGGTTCCTATCAGAAGAGTCGATAACGAAGATAAGACCCTGAGTACCTGCACCCCCAAAAAAACATCAGCATTGCCTGTCCCCTACGCATTCTTCGGACCGTTATAACTCACCGCTGAAGTAATGCCTCCACAGAGGACGAATCTTGTCCTGGCCACCGACGTCCCAAACGTTAAACTTGACATTCTTGTACGTAACCGTCTCGACGTTGAAGCCGACCGTGGGAATCGTGGTGACGTCCTGGCCCAGCTTGAGCTTGTAGAGGATGGTTGTCTTTCCGGCAGCGTCGAGACCGAGCATGAGCAGGCGCATCTCCTTTGATCCGAAGATCTTGCCCATCATCTTTGAGAACTGGCCGCCCATGATTGCGGCTTGTGTAGAAGGTGTTCGGTTATGTTATTCGGTGTGCGCTCGTGGGTGGTGGTGGTGTGATGGTAGGAATACAAAGGGAGTTTAGTTGTCGTGTTTCGTTTCGAAACCTGCTCGCAGCGCAATGTGTCAGCCTCGCTTCTTGTGTGATACCAATGAGACAACAAAGCTCTCCAACGCAATGGGAGGGCAGAGAATGGCGTGTCAGATTACAACAGGTGTTGATCGTTGTAATTGTTGCTGTCTGACGTTTGTTCGCCAAAGAAAGGCGAGAGATCTTGACAAGAGCAATCAAGGCTCCAGATTTCTCGTATCTCCCCGCTGTTGATTCCCACTCTTGTGCTGTTCCGAATCGTTTGTTTGTTGTCGCAGATAGAAAAGACCCAATACATACAATACACCTTGTGCTGTTGGCTCTTTCGTTCGCGCGTATCGCCACGTTTGTTTGTTTTGTTTACTCGTATCGCAAAGGTCGTTTCGACAAAAACGGTTCCGAAACTTGGCAGTGTCTTTTGTCGAATGAAGACGTAGACGTTGGAATACTACAGTGCTCTCGAAGAGAAATGGATCTAGTATCAAGCATCAATCAAATCTGGACTCTTCTCTTTTTCCCCCCGTCAGGGGAAAAAAAAGGGACGGACGGGTCAATCCCTCTTGTTTGCTGCTTCCCTTCCCCTGGCCCTGAGCTCCTCTCGGCCTAGCGCCCAGCACGGGGCAACCACGCGGGCGGGGACAATTGACAGCGCCAATCCCTTATGACGATAGGCCACTTGGGTCCCCTGTCCAGTCCCTGAAATGAGATACGGTCACTGTAAGGTACCCGGGCGGTCTGGCCTAGAGTGACCTGCCCTGGCTCAAATTCCAGCCATAAACAACCTTACCAACAACCATCAATCTGTTTGTCCATGGCAAGGGTCAACACTAATAACCTCCGAGGCTCTTACTAGCGTAGGCCTCAAATCACTTCACTTCGGTCCTTCGGACAACTTCATATCGTGCCCAATATCAACGGTAATAATACTCGATTGATGCTTGCTATTGCGTCGTAAGCAACTGCTCTATGGACTGTTTTCCTGGAACATATCATGTCCACTGCAACGTTATCATTAAACGCACTGGAGCATAGAACAACTCCTAGCACATATCTCCCGGTAGCAACCTATATTGCGGTGCAGTCGGGCTATGCTCTGTATTCAATCACAAACCTCCTCTCCACCTGTTGTAGTGTTGAAGAGTCGTTCTCCCCCTCAAACTTGAGATTGACCTTGCCGTCGCTGTCCATGCTATGGACCTCCGCCTTGTAGAACGTGGTCGTGTTAGGATACAGCGCTAGCACCACCTTGCCTGATTCCCAATCCTTCAACGTCGACGCTTGACTCTCGGGTGTGATGGGAATCATACTGCTGGCACTTGATCGGTACTCCTTCTGTTTACTCTGGTCCTCGGGTTCTATATCGAGGACCTTGTATCGTCGGCTTTTGCCTTCACCCATCACCTGCGCGACCTCACCAAGTATCCAGTCTGATGTTGTATCCCCATTCAATGCTTTGGGCTTGAATGCAACTGCGTCGCCTTTTGAGAAAACAACTTTGGACTTGTTGTTCCCTGATCCGACACCGCTTCCAACTGACCCCTGAGGCTCGACGCTATCGGCCTTTGGGGGCATGCTGTCACGATCTCGTTCTCTTTCCCTCTCGCGTTCTCGTTCCCGTTCTCTCGCTCGATCACCATATTTTCTTGCTGATCCTCCAATCGGACTCGGTACAGGGGAATCACCAGCCCCGTCAAAGTCATAGAGCGAAGATGCTGCCGCCGCGCTATCTCGAGCATTCCTCTTACCAGGCCCCGCTGCTTGAGCATCCTGCTGTTCCTTAGCGTGCACCACGGCGCGCAACACTTTAAGCTGCTCGATAGTATTTTTGAGTGCTGACATGTTAGCCTCCGAGTGCTTAACCCCTGTCCGACATAGCTGTTCCATCTCTTTCAACGAGTCACTTGGAATCTTCTCCAAGTCCATCGTACCGACTTGTTTATCCATCGTGACAAGTTCCGTAAGACTGTCATTCTCTGCATTGATTCCAGAGACAATCTCCCCCACTTGACTCTTGCACAGCTCCCAGATCTGTACTTCCTCTCCGTGTGAATTACCGTTGTTGCGGTTGGACGCCCGTCCGCTTCTGTTTCGTTGCGACATCTCGCGGTTGTGGCGTTCCGGCTTCACCGACTCCGGCCGCGGGGTATTATGTTCACTTCTCGGTGACCTCTTTGGCGTGCCCACGTCCGACGTAATATCTCGACTATGATTCTTGGTTCTCGACTTGGTCGGGCGGTTTGGGGTCGAATCTCTGCTCGAAGGATCCTGTCGCTTCGAGCCTGATCGTTTCGGCTCCGGCGTGTTGGAGGACTGGCGCAGAGACTCTTGAAAGCTATTCTCCCTTGAGTGAGTACCGCTTCGCCTGGGCTTTAGGGGAATCTGGTAATAGGGGCCGAGATCTTCTTGGAGGTTCTTGAGTTCGTCCCGCGCAGGCTTCTGCCCGTTAGCCATCCTGCCCCGATACCACCGCCTAAACAGAATGTTGCGATGAGAATCAACCCGAGGAAGGAAACATTATGACGACGAGACGACAATGAACAAACGAAAGCAAGCGCAATAAAAGGGAATTGAAGCGCATAAGATTCATGAATTCAATGAGAAAAAATTGGACTAACCTGAGTTAAGAGAGGCCCGAGTGCTCACAGGCCGAGGCGGGATGGTATGGGGAAGGAAAGGCGACTAAGACAGAAGGCGCGTCGCAGATGAGAAGGGATCGGCAAAATGAGCAAAAGAGGAGAGAGGCTGTGACAGATTTTATACGTGAATAGTGTTATTATATCATGTCCTGAAATAGAGTTGAGGTATAATTGAAGGCTTATTATTGTTCAATAGTGTAATAGTCGGGTATCATGTCGTGTCGTGTCAATCGTGATGGTGCTTAGTCTTTCTCGCTACAGTTGAGGCTGGTGATCCAATGCCAAGGGAGCATCCTCCGCGGCAGAACAAAAGGCGGTGAGGAAAAGAGGTGCCGCATTTGGAGGGGCTTGAGGGGAAGCTTCCTTATCATGACACCGATAAGGGTGTGAATTCGATATCCAATCATCATTAACACTGTGTCATGATGTCTCATGAACTATAGAGCATGGTGTTGAGATGGAAATGGACAGCATTGATCAGGATGAGAAGTGGCTTCAAGTTCAAACTTACACATCATGTCTCGTGGTCTTTACGAATAAGCTTCGAATACAACATGCACCCATGCCAAAGTCAATATCAGGCCACAGAATGCCATCATGAATCTTTATTCCTCATTAAAAGTATATCTACCACAAACACCAATTTTCACACTCACATCACTCCAATATCATCTATAGCTTCTGCTTCTCAGAGTCATCAATCTCACAAAACGCCTTGAACGTCGTGAACTCATCATCCTCACCCCCCTCACTCTCAAGCACAAGCTCAGCCGTAGCACCCACAAAGTACACATACCCCTCCTTCATCTCATAGCTCGTAGGTCCAACAGCGATCCTTCCCTTTCCACTCGTGCAGATGACGATGCTGGGTCCTTCGATAGGCTCAAACGTAGCCTTTGCGCCGTTACCGCGGAGCAGGGTGCGCACGACGCTGAATTCCTCGATGGGGGGGTCGTAGAGTGCCACTGCTGAGCCGGAGCTGTAGGCGTTGCGGTTGAGTGTTGCGTAGGGATATTCGGTGGGTGCCATCTTTTGTTGCTCGATGGGCGCAAAGTTGTAGGTCAGCATGTCGACGAGTGTTGTGACGTCTTTGAACTTGGGTGTGAAACCGGCGCGGACAACGTTGTCGGAAGCTGCCATGCACTCCATGATGTCGCCGGAAATGTAGGCGTGAATGTCGTCGGCGACAAGGAACAAAGCCTCGCCAGGCTCCAGTGTGACGAAGTTCAGGAAGAAGAGCACAAAGCAACCAATGTCGTCACCAAATTCGCCGTGTGTTCGCTTCACAAGCTCAGCGAGCTTCTCGCCAGAGGTAGCAGGGACACCACCGCCAGCGAAATCAGCGCCCTCCTTCTCCGCTTGCTCAACAAGCTTGGGCATCTGCTCAGCAATATCCTCAGCAGACGACGACATGAGCGCACCAAAAGCCTTCTTCAAGAACTTCTTCTTCTCATCCGTAACACCTTCCTCACCATCCCTGGCAACCTGCGCAAACTCCTTCGCAGCTTCTTCGCCAACAAGCGCTCTCAGCGCAGGCACTGTCTCAAGGAAGTGAGCGATCTCAGTGAGGGGTCGGAAACCGCAGAGACCCTCGAAGGGAGTAATGGCGATGGCCATTTCGGGCTTGTGGTTGTCATCGGGGTAGTTCTTTGCGTCGCGAGCGTGGAGTTGCTCGGCGAGCTTCTTGTTGGGGTGGGCTTGGATCGAGAGCGCTTTTGCGATGGAGAGGACCTTGAAGAGGAAGGGAAGCTTGTTGCCGTAGTGGGAGGAGATGGTTTGGGAGAGGAGGGACTGGTTGTCCTCGCAGAGATCGAGGAGGGTTCGGCCGGTGTTGAGGTCTCGAGAAGGGTTCGAGGGATGAGTTCCCATCCACAACTGTGCAGACAATTGTTAGTATGAGGTACAGACATATATAACACGTAGATGCTCACCTCAGCGTATGGGGTATCAGACTCGATCTTGAGGTCGTCAGAGGGCGTAGCGGCCGCAAATCGCGCAGCGGCAGAATCATTGCCCTTCTTTCCCCAGGCGTACGAGTTAACGCCGCATTGTAGACGAAGTAGAGGAACCTGCATATTTGCGATGTTCGTTGTTGGCGGTGAATGCGACAATGAAGCTGTAGCTTAGCTTGGATGGGTCAAATGTCTAAAAACGAAGCGCAAGTCTGTGCCTTTGATACAAAATCTTCTAAGCTATCAATCGCAAAGAAGAAAATTAAATATCAGGAATTGCAAAGTTGGCCAAACAGAAAACAGACGATGACAGCAGTTATGACGGAGCCCGTGGAGGGGAAGTCATAGCATTGCCCATCAGTTACGTTACCCCCCATCACCCAAATTTAGCTCCCCCTCCAGTAAACCACTCTAGCCACTATAACGACGGGACACGAACGTGGTGATTCCGGGCTCTTGTAGGGAAAAGTACCGGAGTAGCACCGTTTTTAGAACGTCCAAGAACCCCGCTGTGGGCCTGAAACTATCGACTCGTCTTTTTCCTATTCTGGGTTGATCTCATCCATGTGATCGTGAGCCTCATTACACGATATCAGGGGTTTTATATTGCAACTAAAAGGGCTCTAATTTGGCGTGATGAGGGCTATTCGATAGTGCCTGATATTTATCTCTCAACTTCCAATTTGGCCAACTGTCATTCGGAAGATAATTCACAACGAGATTGGTGAACAATGGGTACATATCGTAAAGATACATGTTATTGGTAAAGAGCAGACTCAACAATGAGTACTCAATGCTCAAGGTGCTGCATACATGTACACAGGTGCTTCGTCAAACGACGTCAGCTCTTTCATCTAACTCAACTTATACAAAGTCCAGTCGTTATCCATTATCCGCCCAGTTCCTCCTCTCAATCTTGACTTTCACCATTTTTTGTTGTCCGAAAATAAGGCAATGTACAGACTTATGCACCCAACAGAACAGACCAAAACACCTCATTTCCCTTCTCCCAGAACTCCAAGGTCTGATAACTCATGCAGTCCGGGCCCAATGGTATGACTGTGTTCACTGACGCAGCAACCTGTTTTCCTCTCTTGTACCAAGACTCCAAAATCAAGGACTGCAAGGCAATACCCTGGGGATAAAACGCCAGAGGAGGTCAAAGGTAAGAAAGAGCGATATTCTGCACACTTTGACGACCAATCATGCAAATAAAATGGAAAAGCAGAAAGAAAAAAACACGTAAGTCATGTATCGGGGTGGGAGATAAGACTCGACCGAGGCGCCACCGTGGCACAAACCAACGCTTGATGTGCTTCTCCGGTGAACGCTGTGCTCATCGTCTTGCGAAATCTCTGGAGGACTAATAGCCTCCCAAGTTGGGGTTGTTCCGACGGCGGGACGATCAATGAGTAATTCGTCCATGGCAAGCGAGCTGATATCGGTTGGACATTCGTCCCATCACAACATATTGTGCGTTTTCGTGCCTCGTCAAGGACCTCAACTCCGTTGACCCCGTAAAGACCCAAACCATTGCAACAACAGACAGTGGAATGCCCATGGCAATGACCGAATTGCCTGCCCAAAAGAAAACATAGCGCACTGTAAAGCCTCAAAACCGTGTATCAATGCAAGCAAACAATGTACAGTTGTATTAGCCGCAGCTAATCCGAGTTGTCCCGCTTCACACCAAACAGATATCAAGCTCGCAGCGTCCCCGTGGCCTTGCGGTAGCTGTCTGCAGCGGCGTCTGCCCCAACACTTCCAAGATCGCTAGCAGGCATCATGTAAGCTGCAGACTGGTTCGTCATGTAATGCACGTTGCTGTGGCCCAGCGGGAAGGATGATATGCCGCTGCTGTTGAGGGTGGACATGTCGCGACGAGCAGTAGTTGGAGGTGCCGCAGTGACTGAGTTGGTTGTGTCTATGTAGCGGTACGTCATCTCAGGGCCCTGACGCATGGAATCGGCCGGCCCCAACACGGATGCATCCGAAGAACCTGTGTAGGAGTAGTAGTCGTTGCTTTGGCGGCCGTATTGAGAAGTGAGGTTCGCAGGATACGAGGGCAGACAGCCCGAGGTGGAGGACATGCTCGAGGACTCGTAACTTGTGTAACTCGAGGGCGCCTCGGAGGTGCTGCTCACAGGCGACGTACCCGATGTCGAAGCTTGCGACGACTTGCTGCTGCTGCTGTAGATAGAGCTACCAGAATCGTTCTTGTAAGACGACCCCATCGAATTGGGTAGCGCAGTCCGTCCCACTGGTGCGGGCAGTAGCCTGTCCCCTATGTTGACGCTTCCTGGCATGTTCTGGAAACCAAGGCTCTTCGAGTCAGGAGTGAGATTCTGATAACCCAGGCTCTTGGTGGAGTCTGGCATCATGGTCTGGTACGCGAGGCTTCCCGAGTCCGTAGTTACTGGAACAGGTCGATGTACCAAGCTCGTGACATTGTTTCCACCACTGTAGGCGTAGTTTGGTTCCATATCCACGCAGAGGGCAGACTTGCCTGGGGTTCCAGAGGCGATTCGATGGCTGATTGCATAGTCTGAGTCGTGAACTGAGGAGTAGGGTGCTTGGTACATGCTGTTGTAGTAGCTTTGATCATCTGTGTATCCATGACCCCAGGTTGCAAGGGGGCAGTACGGCTTCGCACCATATCCATAGGTAGTAGGGGCACGATAGACAAAGGGATCACTGGTGTAGGATGACACGCCATCAGTATAAGCTGGGGCAGTCGAATGCAGAGATGACATGGCAGAGCTTCCTCTCGCTTGGTACTGTCGGGAAGCTTCAAGGCTGTAAGAAAAGCCGTCGCTCTTCACAATGGGTGCTTCATGAGACGCAACCTAGTCCATATTGTAAGTATTAAACCACTGTGACAGCACCCTTTCACGTGAAAACATACTCTGAGGAATTGGCAAGGCTCAAAGCCTGCATTCTTGCAGTTGGTGCATGGTCCTCCGTTGCCAGTATCGCCACTGCAACGAATCTTCCTCTTTCGACACCGACCACACTGAATCTGTTGTTAGCCCGCTACACAACTATGTAAGTCTCGCACACACACCACACACCAGGTAAGGAAGGGGATGGGGGAGATTTGCACTTACTGCTACCGCGATGCGCTTCCTCTGGGGAGTCACATCGTCGTCCCTCTCGCTCATAATGGTTGTCCTTGAGTCAGGATGGATGGGAAAGGCGGCCCCCCGACGCTCCGGGTATGAGAAGATATTCACCCGATTCGGCCCATATCGCCGCGGATCTGTCGAGTAACAGTTTGGACTGACCATTGTGCCGGCCCAGTTACGGATACTCGAGTAGTGAAAACGAAAGACTAAAATCTAATTCAAGACTCAGAGTGGGTGCCTGTCAAACTGCCTCATAGAGATTGACAATCTTCCTTGTTGGGTGATGTCTTATCACAGGAGTAGTCTCAAAAAAGATCCCACGGCTGTCAAAAGACAAAGTCTAATGCTCGAAGACGTTCCCGGATTGCAAGCACTCGTCCGTCGGGACTTTCAACAAGGAAGGACCTATAGGTGAACAATGGGTTTGTTGCCGTCGATTTGTTGAACAGTTGAGTGAAATATTAAGATTACCAGTTCCCGTCAACTTCGGCTTGACAGAACTTGGGTTTTTTGAGAAAGCAGAAATCAACAAGACCGAAAGAAACAAGAGATCCAAAGACCAGAAGATCTGCAGCCGATGGCATCCTGATATACTCCGTACCACTGACTTAGACCACTCCTGGGTACGGCCGTTTGGATCGTGTTTGCTTCGCCCAAGCTCAACTACGACTTCCTCCTCCTACCAATAAACGGCCCTAATCTTTGGCAGCACCGAGTAGATCCACTTCAAACAGGGAGTATAGAATCATCGAGGCATCTCCTCCGGTGCTCTGTGGAATGGAGGGACACCTCGTACAACAGATGACATTTGCCCAGAGCCCTCAACGTCCTCCTCACCTATCAGCGCTGCGCAAAAAATGTCTGACTGGAGGCTACTAGCTATGCGAGAATGCCACGGGTAACAACAGATGGCTTGCATGATGGCAGGATTGCCATGAGGCAGCGATTCCCTTACTATCACGGCATTGAGGGAGCGAATCCAAACAGCGAATCCAAACGGGTTTCCAACCTAAAATGGCAGCCGGATGTAGTCGATCGGTCTTGGGCTTCCCCAGATCGTATGAGATGGAGACGGCCTGGGCTGAACTGTTCATAACCTGAAACGAGCATCCCCACACGGACTGTCTCTGTCTGTAGTGGACTGAGTCGTGTTGAAGTCATAGATATTGCTCTTGAAGTATACAGTTGAGGGTGCGACTGTGCTGCCATACCATACGACACTTGAAGCGAGACGTCGGCCGATAAGCAAGCCCGTGCAGATCTGACACTGCAACAACCGAGCTAGTCGAAGATCCTAATCCGTTTTGTTTGTCAAACAGCTCTTGTTCCTGTCTTGGAACAATGGAAGCACTCAAGCTGTAGTCAAGACGAGAACCGCCTAAGCCCATATCAGCAAACAGATATTATGTCTGGGGCAGCAGTATGCAAACCCCACCGAGACACAAAACCTTGACAGACAAGGTCAGGCCTGCAATGAAACCAGGAAACCCAGTTGTGAATCTAAACCATTGACTGATCCAGCCTCCGTCAGAACTTGGAGTGCAGAGATATCTTTCGCTTGTCGTGCAACGTACGCTAGTCGTCAAGAAATGTAGTTACTTGCTGCTTGTGATCCAGTTGTGTAACAGGCGTGAACTACAGTAATCGATAGGTACTTCGGTATATGAAGCACGCACAGTAGGCTTTCAACCTTGAAGCTCTGGACATTCTCCCCTTGTAATTGTCTTGTCTGATCTTGTCTTATAGACGGGTCATCTACAATCCATGCTATCGATCGACGAATCTCGATAGAGTTGCAGTCTTCTTAACCCGGTAGCTGGGTGGTGGTAGGCCTATTAACCTTGCTGGTGTGTGCAGTTTCATCAAAGCAAAGATACTGTTACAGACACCAACGTTTCGACAACAAACACCTGGAAACGTGGCTAAGAAGGCATCTAATGCTGCCGCCCATAGAAACTCTTCCCGTCAGTCCAGGGGCGAAACTGAGGCACAAAGTCACCTCACACACCACAGCAGCCATCATAGGCCATTGAAACGCTTTTTGACTTGCTTTTGACGTTGCTCCATGAATTTTCTTTTCTCACGGCGAGGCTCTGCATGTGTAAGGTGCAGGATTCTGCTCTAAGCCCCACTCAAAATGCAGTATCCTGTGGCCTTCGTTTGTTTGCATACTCTGATGCTGAAGATTGGTCCCAACACAAAAATGAAAGGCAGCACACAAACGGCATAGAAAATGATCACAGCTTGACGAGAGAAGGTATGCCACCGTGGCGATGGTTGCACAAGAATACATCTCCACAAATGAGCTGAGAGCATATGTCTTGTCCGGTATTAGATCTGCAGAACTGGGATCCAAAGGCTAACTTTCCAGATGTCCAAGAGCTACCTACATGTGAAAGCAAAGAGTAGCAGACAGGACTCTTGTCCACATTGGGGACAGGCCGCCAAACGGTGCGTGTCGGTACGAGTGTAAATATAGTATGAAGCCAGAACCCGTATTGAAACGGCCAAGAGGGGGCATTGCAGAAATAAAACCAAACACCGACCACGTCCAGAAACCATGGGAGCCGATAGGACTTCTAGGTCCGATGACTTGCAGTTGGAACAAGCTTGAATCCGTGGCTGCGCATCGAGAACAGATTTCGGTAAGACGCCACGAGAGACAGATGCTCTTTTGCAGGCGTTCGCTACCAGTGGCGGAGGTCTTGCTTGCATCAAACGCATAGGGCTTCGAGCTAATGTTTTATGGTCGAGCTGACACCTTCGGGGCTCTTCCAAGGCTGAGACACGATTCCACATCGGTGGCGCTGTTCGAGTGAATATCCCCAAACAATAGAACTGTCTTAAGTAGTAGAGGCAAAGACAAGGTCGTTTGTGAAATATCTCGTCTCCAAGTCCATTGATCAAACGAGGCTTGTACGAAGAATCTCAAACTTGACGCGGTAACATAGACATCGTTCGATGTCTTCACTTCATTTCATATCTGGATCAAACAGCCGTTCTTTTGAGTCAAGGCGGTTTCAATTGGTTCTGGGGCAAGTCTTCTCAAGTCAATAAACAACCGTCTATCGTATCGAGACTCAATCATGCCCCAGACTGCATACACGGTACAGCGAGATAAGCAGACTCGCTTCTTTCCTCTCTCCTCTACGGCTGCCCCACAATCTGTGAGAAAACAGCGTCAGTTCTCAAAAGAGAAGACGGTCCGTGATAATAGAGCAGGCGCAGCATCCAGGGCGGAAATTTCTTTCAGCAATAACCCGACGAAGATGCTGTTCACCCAACTGTCATTTAAGGGTGTGACGCATGAAGCTGCGTCTACCCGCGCTGTACTTCCACCAACACATACTATTGGTCACTCAGCCAAGGGGTTCACCTAGAAGTCTCTCGTGGCCCACTAAAGGACGAGGATAGACTGCTTGATGGCTGACCAAAACACCGTTCAACTGGAATTCTATACCCTTGGCTGTAATAATGATCTGTAGCGATCCGCAAAACAGTCGCGGGGAAGCTCGATATGAAGATCCGGAGGTTGGATCACATGCAGAGAACAATCTGAAACTGCTTCCTTAGCAGAAACATCACAAGGCCACTGGGCCTATATTGATTCCATGTCGGCTCCCGTTGGAGACTGAAATCGCAGTCAAGCCCGCCCCATGGCCGCTAAACCCGGCGGACGGGGCTTTGGCGTCTCGCAGTTGCACATCTCGACAAGTTTTGCCTGAATAATTTCATGCTTGTACATGGCGTGTCGGCGTCACTACATGTACCAAAGTCCACAACACTGACCGATTAGAGCTTACCATTTTGCCGTCTTGTTGACGGATGAGTCCCCGAGCTATGTATGACCTAAGCTGCAATGAAGCAATTGCCAGGCAACATTGCTTCTGCTTCGGCCATCGGTCCTCGAAACCCGTAGCTCGTGTTGTTGAGAGATATCGGAGTACCTCAGCGTAGTACAGCCAGTCGTCCCCAGTCATTGTTACCAGTACCGAGCTCATTGACGATCTGAGACAACCGTGTTGATCCATCTGGGTACCCTGGGCAGCAGCCGCATCTCTCAGCCCAGAGCCTATTCAAGGAATCTTCGTTGGTAAAGACAGCTCAGGTGACAGGGTTTAGGGCTTGACGCTTATCGAATAAGCCCAAGCTCGGCCGTAACAAGCCTTACTTGAGGTGTTACAGAGTCTTCGATGTGGTGAGAGCATGGCGGTCTCACCCCCTTGTGCCTTGCATTGATGAGCTGGAAGTTGTGCCCTCCCGTGTCTCTAGAAGGCACAGGAGAAGCAAGCATAGCCGAGAATGACGGATTTTTGATCCATAGGTAGAGAAGCAGCGACAGGTTCTGGAGTGTTCGACTGAATGACAGACAGCCAGCAAGCTCGTACAAAATAGAGTATTTGGATGTAAAGCCAAACATGTTGTGGCGTGGTGGTCTATAATGTCTGGATGCTTTGACGAGAGTGGATTCCCCTTGCTGGGCGTTGTGATCTGCTGAACGTCCAAAAGAGACCTGTCAGGTATGACAACATCAAAAGTGTTGGTAGAAGCGTAGGGATATCGCCGGCAAGCGATGCCATGGCAAAAAGAGATGGGGTAGGCCCGGAGATCTCATCCAGAGCGACGCCGTGGTCGCTCAACAGCGGGAGACAGATCCTCCCCGCCGACCCACAGTCATCGGTACATTTCGGTCAGAATAACATCGCTCATGCGTAGACGGTGTTCAGTGTGTGTTCAACTAAGCAGTCCACATTGTCTTCCGTTGCTTGGAGAAGAAATTCCGGTGAAGGACCGTATGTGAGATGAGAGGAAGTTGGTGTTTGCATATCACGAAAGCATTAAATTCAGCGACGAGGTTCTCCCTCAAAGTAGCTGTCAAACTCGTGTTATGGGGATATTCCATTTTCGTGTAATGCCGTACGATGCATTCCGTATTAAAATTAGCTGAAGCTGTTGCATAGCAGAGTAACGCTAAGCGCTTGCCGTCAATGGTATTGCGCCTCAGTACGCCAGTGCTTGTGAGGGTTGCACTGCTGTATTGCGTTTCGCAATCCACCAGTCCTTCCTTATCTCCTTGGCCTGCGATCATAATCGTCCCGTCCAAATCGATCCCTTTCTTTACCTCGGTCTCGACGATCGTGGCCACGGTCCCGATATCGGTTTCTATCATGATCTCTATCGCGCCGGTCGCCTTGACGGTCATCTCGTGGTTTGCGATATCGATCCCGACTTCGATCTCTTGGCCGCGGACTCCGACTCCGACTTCGTCGATGTGATGGTCCTTCATCATCCTGAGATCTTGGAGGAGGCGCATCATCCTTCTCCTGTTTCTGTCCACCGCGCCCCAGTCTGCCTTTCATTTCCTCTTCCCCGTAGACCATTCTGTAATTACCACCCGTAATCCTTTCTCCCTCATCTCGGTATTGTCGGCGCTTCTCGAGCTCATCGACACCTCCCCATCCGCCTCGGTGAGCAGTCGCCCTTCGCTTGCTGTTCGTATCCTTTCGCCACACATCGCTCAGTTTGCTGACACTCTGAGAGAAGTCCACATGAATGCGTCGATCGTCGATGAGAACATCTTGCATCTTGAAGTAGGCTGCCTCACATGACGCCTTGTCCTCGAATTCGATGAATGCATATTGTAAACTGTCGCCAGTCTTTTGGTCTCTGATAACTTCACAACTCAAAATCTTGCCGAAACGGCCAAAGATGAGCTCCAAATCTTCGTCGCCAGTCACGGGGTTCAGTTTGCAAACGAACAAAACGTTCTCAGGAGGCTTGACCTCTGCAAACGGCAAATCTCCCATCATTTCCAGAGTGAGAGCTTGCGCCTGTGCCTCGCGATTGCGACGCCTCCTTTCCAACTCTTCCTCATCGACATTGTCATCTGCGTGCAATGCTGCCTCGTCTTCGATTCGAACAGTCTTCAACTGCTGGGCGGTCGGAGGGGGACTTGAGCTCGGTTCTCTCAAGCCAGGCGGGTCAGGGTAGGGATCGTCCAGAATAACCGTATGCTTGATTCGAATGTCGATAAGCGGGTAGCCCTTCTCGTCCACAATCGCTTCATTGATCTTGTCCAGTACTTCAAAGCCTTCGACGACCTTTCCAAAGATCGCTGCCTTTCCGTCCAAGTAGTCCGTGTCTTCGCCCAATGTGACAATAAACTGAGATCCAGCCACTCGTGTATCAGGATCGGACTGGAGGGGGGCTGTAGCCATGCTGACTGTTCCTCGCTCCAAGTGTTTCAACTTGGGGTGGAAAAAGGCTGGGAATGTTCGTTTCGCTGGGTCGCCGGATACGTGACCCCATATTGAAGAGCCGCCATCGGAATCTTTGGACAGAGGGCCGAGAGGATCGCCGGTTTGGAAGGAGAAGTTCTTCTGGACAGAGTGAACAGGTGAGAAGTTGTAATACTTGACCTTGCAGAGCTTCAGAAAGCTATATCATCTGTTAGTTCAGACTCGGTGATAGAAACAAGGTGGCATCGGGATGACTTACTTTTCGCAAAGTTTGGGTGCATGGTCGACCAGAAGATCGATGACAATGTCACCTTCGCTGGTCTCCAAGAGAACTGACATGATAATCAGCGGTATCTCCTCTTTTACGCGACGCCGAATCAATTGATTCAATGCGAAAAGAGGTTGTGAAGAGAAGGACGCGTTCCCCCAAGAATAGATGGAAGGTTGAATGATGTAGCTGCCCCAGCCACTGTCACGAAGGTTTCGAGAAGGAGCGCTGAGAAGGCGCCACAGGTGGCGGCGATAAAATTACATAATCACACGATGACTTCAAGTTCACCAGAACAGCATGCCATATCCATTCGTGACGAGTATTACGAGACTAGACATTTTTCTGAAGAGTTTCTATCACAGCTTTTATGTCATGTATCTCGATACCACGTACGCACTGGCCCCCAGCGTCTCCCTTCTTATTTCAACGATGCTCAGTCTTACATCGGGATATTTCACTTAGACGTTCCTAACTTATTGAACAATTTACGTCTTGGCGTGCTCTCTATAACTGAGCAACTTCTTTTCTGAGATTCTCACGCAGTCCTATCAACCAGTTTTCTACACCGTGCGCCTCTCACAGGGTCAAAGAAGAAATCATGATCTCCATCGCGCACCAACAACTCCCTTCCAGACAAGAATCTACAACATGTCTAGCAGGCTCAACTACCGATACTCTATCATGTGGAACAAACTCCAAGAAAACGGCTCTCAGCTTTAATCCACATCCTTGTTTTGGCCAACCCACAAGAACCGCTAAAATGACGTTTTAGCAAGACCTCTTATCCCTCAAACAAAAAAAGTTTTCCTCTCGCTCAGAACCATGATTCTGTATTCTTGGTATAGAAGGGAGTGCCAAGGAGGCGTATACATGGAGCAAAATGTCCGGGTCGCCGAAGTCCAAACCACATGACGGGCAAGGATTCGTGTTTCTAGGTGAGACTCTTTGTTTCTGGAAGGTGAAGCTATCCCGATCTCGATGTTCCTGCGCAGTTGACCTGTTTACGTCATATCAGGTCAAGGCTCTGGTTTGACAGTCCGGGATAAAGCATCATAGTTAATCATATGTGCCCTATCAGATATGTGATAAAATTGGTCTCGGCCGTTTGAAGAAACACCGTTGGAGGAGCGTTGTCGTTTTGCTGTGATGATCGACAACGGGTTTGAAGTCATTCCCATCGGTGATCTGAGGTGACGTCTCGGTGAACCGCGTAGAAAGTCATTCACGGGAGCGCTAGGGTAGACTTCCCGGTACGTCTTCGAGGCTCAAAGTGGATTGAGGATCATGGTTATCCTACTTCATGTAAGACGGGAATGACATGGTTTCCCCATAATGACAACCTTGCTTCGCCTTCAGCAATGACTGTTCACCCAGAGCAACTGCTCAACCATCTCAGTCAAAGTTCAAAGGTTGTTCTTTATCCAGTGATGTAACAATCACTAGAACCAAACCGCCCAGGCCACCCTACAGCATCATAGCATCCGCTTTGCCTTCAGCTTGTGCTTTGCTGTAATATACATCGAAAAACCTGCTTGTCCATTAACGTCACAGTCCCTGACGGTCATGCTACAGTACCACACACTCACCTACACTCAACATCTTTCACCTCTCGGTGTGCACAACCTCGTCGATCCTCAGCCCCAGACCACATCAGCGGTGTACGCAGTGGCAAAAACTGAATTCCCCGATCGTGATCGATTAAGCCCAAGCGCACTGGTAGCTCATATCAGAGACATTCTTAGCGCAGAACCGTTATCGCAAAAGAAGCGCCCGGGCGCTTAATTAGTTAAAAAAAAAATCTTGGGTTAGCGAGTGTGCACGAGATGATCTTCATTTCCCCCAACGGGTTTTTGATGCAGCAGGGGGGAGGACTCAAGGGAGGGACGATCTTTGTGGGTAAGACGCGTGTTTTTTCGCTATCTATTTTTTGCAATTCCAATAACAGCGAGCGGGGCCGGCCGAACGTGCATTTGGGGGAGAGGGAAGTTCGGGGTAGAGAAGTGTAATTGGATGTTTTGCATTTTGGGGTCATAGCATTCTTGGAGTTTAATGTGGTAGACCGGGTGATGATACCCGGGAATGCATTCACTTTACAGAGATGGAAGTTGGATTGATAAGGTTGTTTTGCGAAATTGCATTCATTTGCATTGTTTGATGCTATCGCTAACAAGACTAACTCCTCCTCGGGAGATCTTCATGATGATAATAAACTTGTGGCGTTTTTTCATGCCTCCGAGATCCAGCATGGCTTTCGCAAGAATGTAAATGAAAGGTTAAAAAGAAAAAGCCACGGAACGATCCCGCGATATGCAGTTGGTTCTGTAGAACCTAAAGTCAAGTAATAGACAAGAAGTGAAGACTGTGTGTAAGTGAAGTGGGTATGGGGAATAAATAAAGACGAATAGACCCCCCAAAATCGCTTTCTTGCAAAGCATGCTGTAGTATTTCCCTAGTCCGATATTGCCCAGAATGTAAGAATGTGAGCTTTTCCCTTCTCTTCCCAGCTCGAGTTGAGACCGTAAACGCCTTCGCCAATGCAAATAAAAAGACAAAAGAGAGGTATTAGAATTAATGCCAAGTTTTGTTGTGTTGGGGGGCGTATGTTTGCCACCGCGTAAGTCAACCATTGACATTGCGTGAGCATGTGTCGATATGATGTGATGGCGAAGAGAATACGAGTAAATATTTTCGGTTTTACTCGTTTCCAGAGCTTCGTCGCCTTCGTCCGCTACGAAGCTCCTTCTCAGTCTCCATGAGTCTTGTCTGCACCCATGTCCTAAACGCCCGATCGGCGCGAACACTACTGCAGTTGAGAAGCTCTGTCAAAGTGCGCTTGATACTCTCGTTGACCTCAGAGAGGCGCTGCTCCTCTGCCGAGATCTCGTAGATGGTCTCCTCATCAGGAATCGTGGTAAGTTCATTGCGGTCTTCCCAGCCGCTGCACCGGGCGTGAGAGCGCGAGTGGTGTCGTCCGCTCCGGGAGTGGCGCTTCGGTGAGGGCGGGAGCGAGAGGGATGATGAGGAGGATCGGGTTGGCGATGTAGATGGTGAGGAATTGTGGGAACGGATTGACATGTTGAATTCGGGTCGGATCTGGTCGAGGCGATCGCATAGTTCTTGGTGTTGCTCTGTCAGAAGCATGTACTTCTGAAGAGCAAGGGTATATGATTGTGCGCCGGTGGATGCCATTTTTGATGCTGGACTTGTTGAATATGAAGCTGGTGTACTACTGATGCTTGATACTGATGTTGATCGGTTGTGCCCGGAGAAGAAATGGGGTCTCACGTCTAATGACGAGACCATCGAAGCGATTATGTAGTACTTGGGAGGAGGATGTATAAGATGGGGTCGCGGTTATAGTGTCGTCGCGAACACTCAGAGTCGGGTAGTCCAGTGTATAAATATTCTTGTGACCTTTGACGGTGCAGTGTATCGTAAATGCAAGCTGCAATGGAAGATGTAGGTACTAGGTGTCGATCGTCGGATAATACGTCGTGGTTGCTCAAGGCTGAAGGGGGCCAATCTCAAGCTTGTATAGAAAACGTGTGGGTGGTATATGATAGGAGCTTGGAATGTCCACGATACACGAGCAGTCAACTGACTATATGTGAGAGTAAGAAGGATGAGTATGGGGAAACAAGAATTGAAGTGACGGGGGTGCTTGGTGTAGTTATACTGAAGCTTGTCGATGGATGATAAGAAGTAGTATGATGCTCATGTTATGGGGGGAGCAGGGTGCTTCATTAATAAAGATATGGATTGGCACTCCTGCTAGAATAGCTGCGCTACGGTCGATGCGGTATGTAACTTACGGGAGGGGTCAGTAAATAGATTGGAACTGGACTGAACTGATCGAATTTGAGTGAAGCTTGTAGGGGTAGGTTTGAGTAGGGGTGAGTATCAAATGTACCAAGTACGAGATCCAGGTACGCCAGTCCCCAAGCCTTGGAATGGGAAATGAAGGGGAATCTCCAGGTCTCAACCAACGAGTCAGCACCAGGAACCGCCATGTCTGGAAGTAGAAAATACACTCATCATCCCCCCTGTCCACCATTTAGAGCCCTTGTCCACTGTAAGTCTAGCTCTCACACTCTGTTTTTCTCTCTCTCGTCTTGCTTGTTCATTATGAGTTAAGACCGTGTGGTTCTAGCCGCTGAACGGCAAACTTGCACTCACTGAAGCTAGCCCGAAGCCATGGGGGAGGGGGCCGGCCCCCTCCTATTGGGACACCTGGGAAATCAAGACGAGAAGGAAGAACAGGGATTGACCAGAAGATCCTGGGCAGGGCATCAAGCTTTGGTTGTGGATCCGCTGGCGATGTGACGGGATGCGCTGCGATTATGATGTGTGCGGTGGGTGGTGTGAAGCCCTTTTTTTAGACTGGCCTAACTTCCACTGTATTCAGGTTTGCACAGTGTTATTCCCAGTTCTTGAAGCTCTTGAACAGAATGGAAGGGTCTGATAAGTTCTCACCGGGTTCTTTGGGTTGGGTTACTTTGGTGAGTTGTCGTTGACAACGTTAATCGCCGTGTGGCTCTCGCGCCATCATCCACCTCAATGAGCATGATTTCAGATGTTGATATCGAGACATTTCATGTCTTGCTATTCCCAGAAACGGTTGGTTGCTTACAAGCTCACCCAACTAGCAGCTAACCGATGTTCCAGGACATGAGACAGCGAGGTTTTTCTTATTCATAAGTCTTCGATTCAGACTCGATCTAGAGCTCTTTTCCTTGTTTGATGTTACTGTAGATATACCATAGCGTACGTGGAAAGTGGATTGATTCCCCATTGATATGGAGACGCAAACACGTTCGTCTTGCTGTGCTTCCCCGGTTGAGCCCGGTCCGGAGTTTGAGCGAGATACAGTAGATATGGCTGATATTGAAGCACCATGCAGCACTTGCCAAAGGTAGGCAAGAATACTGGGACCTCTATTCTACGCGATAAAAATACTTAGGTAAACTATCATAAGTTTAGGGGCTTCTTTGACGAGTTTATTCTGGCACCTTAATTTAAGGTCTGAAGTTTTCTTGCTCCCCGGGGCTTGCCTGCTTACTGCACACTATACGAATATTGATTGCTTGGCAGCGATATCTCCTCCAATAAAGTACAGCACCGAAGCTGTCAATTCCCCCTCACGTCCTCATGCGGTTGATAGTGTTCTACAAAGAGCAACTCTTATGTAAAATAACTCGTCCAATTCTTGTGCCGAGGACTTTGTAGCGCCGGGGATAGTAAATGGTGCCCGTGCCATGGACGATTGGTGTTGAGCCCTTTAATTCCTGACCAGCATTCTCACAAAAAAACAGTGGATTCTGCTTCTCCAGGTCTTTTACAATCTCTGCAGCTTACAAGAGATCCTTTCCCTGGGGTCACCGCCTGACCCCACGTGCAGAATATTCTGCAGCCGGTGAAAACAAGTGATTGCCTGATAAACAGAACGTTGCAGTAGTTCCAAAAACCGGCAATGCAAGAAGAGGTCACGATGGGAAAATGCGGCGTGTTTGATGATATCCGCACGTACTCTAGATAGAGGATTTGCACATGGAGGGCTTGGGTGCTGCACTGTGCCGCTGAGCTGGGGGGTGATAAGGCACTCCAATTCCAATTCAGTGGTGGATGGATGCCCTGTTTCCCGGGCTGCAACCCTTCCCCTCACTCAAAACTGTAAAGCAGTTAGAAACGGCTACAGGCGGGAGTTTTTCGTGGGTTGATAACGAGATATCGTGGGGTGATTTGGTGTTGCGAACAGGTTCCATCGTGACGAATTGCCCGGCTGCTTGCGGACTTGATACAGCTATGGAGAAAGAAACTGTAACAGAACAGTACAACGCGTAATCCCCAATTCCCCGTCCTTGAAAAAGTTGTGGACTCTTGCTTGACCCTTGTATCCTCACGATAACGATTGAGGTGCTGTCCCCGGCTGCAGAGTAAATTGAAGGTCAAGGATAAGCCCCTGCAAGAGTAGAGCTCTTCCCGAAATAAACAAGGGAGCTTAAGATGAGACGAAAAATATACATTCTAAGTATATTTTCGTTCTTTTCCTTGATTCACAACTCAACACAATTCAATTGATGCAACATGGATCATCAGTTGATTTTCAGGGGCGTTGCTCTCTCTCGTCGTGATCGACTTGCTTGCATAGCCGATTGCCGACGGATTGGTGGGAAAAGACACATGACGTTTCAAACACCAACATCACCTCATTCAAGTCCGCAAAAAGGAAAGGTTTTTTTTTCTGGGGAATTCAATCGTAATCAACACGAAACATGTCGATAGCTCTTCGTTGATCACATTTGTGGCTCAGAGCTTGACCAAGCTTTCACCTGATCTGCTAGTTCATGTCAATCGATCACCGGAAACAAAGACCACAAAACTTCCGATAAGAAGCTTTCTCACGTATATCTAATCGGATTGGCTTTGCATACAAGGCAGAAACGTTGACTGCCATTTCGTCGCCTTTGATTCGTTCCATGATGTAAGTGTTTCTCGGCAAACTACACTTTTCTGTCTAGGGTAATCGTCAGTGTGTGTCATTCACGGCTAGAAAAGTCTCTTTTTGATATGCCCATTACGCAAGTGGTATGAAGTCTTGAGCATCAAGTGACGATGAGCAAAAGCTTCTGTTTGGATCGTGCTACACCCTGTACGCCTACGACGTACATCGACGTAGTATCAGGGCATTGAGGTTGTGTGTCAGTCTGCTTTTCAAGACAACTCATCTCCTCCATCGTCATTTTCAACTCCTCCTTCAACGGACAGCTTCAAGAGGCAGATCACCAATTGATAGAGCACAGTGCAAAGTTTGTACCATTTAGAACTTCAGTCTATTTGAAGACATTATCAACATTCACACAGTCTTCTCAGCACTACTCCCCGCTAAGAAGGCGAGTGCAATGACGGACTATCGACAGTCTGAATAGTAGTGTCGTGCCGGAGCGTACATTCCAGCCCGCGGCCTCCAGCGTCACTCTCCCGAACCTACTACACCCAGATCGTCTTCAAGTTGAGGCCACTGATCCCGTGGCTCTTTGTCCGTTCATCCCCAAGGGTGCCACGTTCTTGGCTGGTAAGAGAGCTACACCCCGGGGCACCTGACCAACTTGACGGGATTCCAACTACCAACAGGATAATAAGCACCTGTCGCCATCGAGCGCGGGGCAAAGCCAATCATCAGCCCAGATCGCCTGCTTGTCAGCTTCTAGATTGTGCCCTCTGGAGCCAACCCTTTTTGCTCTTCCCCGCAACTAAAACCTAATTGCCTTCAGGGGTCTCGGAGGCTGATTCTGGCGTTCTATTTGAGCATCCTATGGCCTCGAAAGCCTAGGCCAACTTGTAGTGCGGTTCTGTACCTGGGGGGCAACAAAGTTGTTGGGGAGTTTGCCATGTCTTCAATCTGTGCAATTGACCATTTCTTCAAGGCAAACAGAAGTCTGATGAAGAGGTTCATCGGGTCGGCTAACCGTGGGCCCATGCTTTGAGCCAAGGTTCAGAGGTATCATCATGGTTGACATGCAGTGGTGTGACTTTTCCCCATATCCGAGCTCAAGTGACATATCGAGATCATGCAATTGCTATGCCCGTTGCATCCGAGTCTTCAAGTCTCTGATACGTCAAAAATCCCATGACAAATACAGCCAGCCGAGCGACACCTAGCCACGAACCGCATGGCCACAGCGCTTATCGTGAGCCGATTATCACTTCAGTGGCACGACGCTTTACAACCAAGATTCTGTCTAGCCGTGATGTGTTTTCTGTAACAATAGTTTGGCAGTTGAGTCGTTCAGCTTTTGTGCTTTTTCGGATCTCCCGAATTATCAAGATGCCGCATTCTGTATAGATAATTCATGGTGAGACATCCGAATGTCGCTGGTTGACGCCGACTTCTTAACTGGAATGCAGAGGAGTTTTCCCTTTGGCAGACTGCGCTATCCTAGCTCCCGCCCTCTATTGACATGAATTGAGTATAGTGTCGCCCTGGATTCCAGGGGCCCGGTTACGTTCTGGAAACTTTGCAGATATGGATAGCGACATTATCGTTGTAAAAAGGCCCTTGTTGAACTTCCCGCTTTGGAATTGGGAATTGTATCACCTCGACGGCGAGTCCGTTAGCTTGGCACTGGTCCAAGAACGCTTGAAACGTCTTCTCGTTTCGTTGTGTCGCTGAGATGAAAACCTCCACATGTGGATGAAGGTCAAATACCTCACGCAGAGTCCCGATCAGGGCTCTGATTACGCTCTTGTCGTAAGTAATATCGGCGCCTAGCACGACATCAATAGGACGTCCACCATTCCATTTCTCCTCTTCGGTGCCCATGAGTGCATGTCCCCATTTGACGTCCATTGGGGTTACTTGAACGGAATCTTGAAGCTCATTGAGGAAAAGGTTATCGGGGAGATTGTTGATCACATCGTCAGAGCCATCTGATGCTATGACATGTTGAGAGTCGAGAAAGTTGGCGCAAAGAATAGAAAGATATCCTGTACCAGCTCCTAGTTCCAAGACTCGCTTTCCCTTGACAATGTGTCTGTTCTGGCTAAGGTATGACCCCAAGTGAAGGGCAGCCTCCCACGTGCGTAGACCAGTGGTCCCTGAGCCTGAGATGAGAGAATGGTTCTCAAGAAGGGTGATATGAGGCGCCTGCGGGCTTGGCTCTGAGTTGTCTTCACATAACTCAGAGAGATGGTATGTGACATAGGACTTTTGTTGAGCAGAAGTGGCTTCTGAAGGTAATGGGTTTGCGAGAAAGAGTGAAAGTGCAGACATCAAGTCATCAGATACGCCCTGGGTAAGTTAGTAAATGATACGAGAAGGAGACAGAGTGATGTTAACGACGATGACTTACATACTCTTCCCAGTCATCAATGCTAGCTTCAATTCTGGACATGAGCTCTTTGAGAACTCGAAGCTGAAACCGTGGAGGAGGTCCATATCTCACGGCTCCATCAGCGAATAACCTCTCATAAAACGCATCTTGAACTTGAGAAGTCTTCAACAGTGAAGCTTCTGGATAGTCCAAGTCAGACTGGAGCTGGAGATACTGATGACAGAACCGGTCAACTTGTTTGGAACTTGACGACATTTTGGAGGCGAATGGAACCGTTGTTTTCAATTTTGTTGGTTTCGTATATTTCGTATAAACTACGTGAGAGACATCCTGGAATCATCGCAGACAACAACTCAATTGTGGACTTGGAGTGGCCTGACGACACTATCTCCACCAAAGACTGGAGTTGAAACTTGGACATCTCCAACTTGAGAGGCCGAAGCCTTTTGTAATATCCGACTATTCCCAGGCTCACTCACCCGAACATTGTCCGAGATCTCCTCCACGTGATTTCGACGAAAAAAAACCCTTGTGTGCTCGCGCCTCAGAATCGAGGCATCAAATCGCGCACAAGCGCAACGAGATTAGGGTTGGACCAAATTAAGCGACCAAAGTTGGATTTTCAGTGTGACAACTTCATCAACCGAACGACCTCACCCATCAACGCCCAGTCTCTCCACCGTCAACTAACCCCCAGAGACCATCACGACAATCGGCAAAAATGGCGGACAACGACTCCCCCGTCACCCTCCGAACTCGCAAGTTCATCCGCAACCCTCTGCTGGGCCGTAAGCAGATGGTCGTGTGAGTGATACCCTCAGATTCTTGATGATACGTCTCCATATTGCGTCTGCCGCACCGCGCGGTTGCTGCTTCGTCGATACCATCACCTGAGTCGATGCTTGAACTCGCCTGCCTCTTTTTCCCCGCTCGATATATCGCTGTTCTGCACGATTCTACGCCACATAACGAAATTTATCGAAAACACGTTCAGAAATTGGGACAGGCGGGCATAAAGCATCGATGATGGGATACGATGGGACACGACATAGGGCCTATCATTTTGTGCTTGGGAACTCTTGGGCTGACCGGCGATTGCGTTTAATAGTGACATCCTCCACCCCAACCGTGCCAACATCTCCAAGGAGGAGCTCCGTGAGAAGCTCGGTTCTCTCTACAAGGCCCAGAAGGACCAGATCTCCGTCTTCGGTCTCCGAACCCAGTTCGGTGGCGGCAAGACCACCGGCTTCGCTCTCGTCTATGACTCCCCCGAGGCCATGAAGAAGTTCGAGCCCCAGTACCGATTGGTGCGGGTTGGTCTCGCCACCAAGGCCGAGCGTGCCTCCCGACAGCAGCGTGCGTTTCACCACAATCATCAGAGTTCAAAGGGGTTAGTCAGGCTGACAGACAACTACAGGCAAGCAGCGCAAGAACCGACAAAAGACCCTCCGTGGTACGGCAAAGGTCAAGGGTGCCAAGGCCAAGAAGGAGAAATAAACGACTCGATGACTTGGCTTGGGCTTGTGTATATCCTCGGGCTGGTTGGGGAGCAGCTATGGCTGCGTGCATGCGGTGGTGCGTCCATTTACGGTCCATCCTCGTCGGCGTCGGCATCGGCATAGGGTACAGGGACTTGCTGGGCGGATGGCGGGGGGCTATTCTGGACTCGATGAGGAGGATTGCTTTCACCGGCGTCTCTTCTCAATTACACTAGCATGAAATCAATGGTGTTCTTCGGGTTTCGGACCAAAATCAAAAATAACAACGTCTCTGGTTTACGCGGGTTTTCACTACTTGGTTCTACGGTTCGTGAATGCATGACTCATGACTTTATATCACTGCAAAAAAAAAAAAAGGTATGCGAGAGCAATACAGAATGTTTTTAATCAATCAGACGCCGCCCAGCAGCAAGAGGGTATCAACATATCTATCCAAAACTCCAAACTCCACCCAATGCATCTTCAGATCAACTCTTCACCACAATCCTCCATATATCAACATTGCCAACCCCAATGCGATTCCAACGACGACCTTCCAGTGCACAATCTCAGCTTGCCGGCCCTCAGCGCCAGCCTTGTACACGGGGATATGCCATCCACAGCGCTCCTTTCCATCTCTCGTCTTGCATTCGTAGTAGGTTGTTTGCGCCCAGCCCATGCTCGCCAATTGTTCTGCTTGATCGGGGGCAGCTGTGACGGGAGGGTTGAAGACAGATGGGTTGGCGTTGTTTCTCTCTTGTCTCTCTTCGAAGAATGAACCGCCTGGAAGAACCGGAAGACCTGTTGTGTCTGGGAGGCCGGGTGAGAGTGTAGGTGCAGGTTGAGGCTCTGGTGTCTGAGTGGGTAGACAGAGGCCCATACTCAACATAGCGAGAAGGGTAAAGACGTAGTTGAGAGGCAACATGATTGCGGTATTGTTTCTCTTTGAAGCTGGTATGCTTTTATATCAAGATATTCCGTGTGAGTTGGTTGATTTCTGGGCAAAGTGGTAGATAATCGTCTCAACGGGTTGATCTCGTCGTTATATACCCGTCTTAACCAAACGGTTCACAGTTCTCCAATGAACACAACAGCAGTAGTCACAATTTCACAAAGCAGAACAAGTTTAAAAAAAGGACCGACAAACCTCACGTTCCATATCCCGAACAATATACTTATATCTCCCCAAGACAGCCCCATGATGAACATTCAAACCACGCGACAATAGCCAACAGGTTCTCAATAAAAAGTGCTCATGAGACGCTAGAACAGAGACAAAAATTAGGCTTAACTGGTAAATTCTAGGCAAGATGCGAAAAGATGGTGGGTTGTTTCGCTGCATCATCTGCTCGCTCAAACGACTTGGTTGGCTGAGGTGCGCTGCTCGTGATGCAGCTAGGACTGCGCTGAGACAGGCACTGGGGCTAAAGGATGGGTTCGTGATGGTCCTCACATGAGACGCTGGGCATTAAGAATGAGAAGGAGAATAATGATTTGAGTTTCGTGAATCTTGGCTATTTTTCAAGCTTGTTTCTTGTTTCTTTGCTTGCTTTATTAAGGTGCAGATTTTAACCAGCTTCATCTTTTGTCTTGAGCCATACGCTGGGCTGACACGCTATGCTTCCCCAACGCCATGTTCCCTGAAATACAGAATGCTTTGATACATAATTTCCCTTACCAATCCTTTTCATACCCCTGCTGCTCGAACTAAAATAAGGCGATGGAGCGCCCGATGCAAAAGATCCTTTCTCAACCGTTCCAGTACTTCCATAACTTGGAACCATCCTGTGTCTGTCAGAACCTTCGTGTTGTCTTCCTACGACCCTTGATCTGACTATAGGCACTCGTCAACACCTCTTGAGCCAGTGAAGCAGATGTCTGTCCGCGTGTAGTTCGGCTTTGTACACTTGTCGTTTTCTTCGCATCTGTCGCGGGTAGACTCTTTCCCCGGCTTCGCGTGTTGACTTCACTATGTTTCTTCTGCACCCAACCTGAACCCTGTGGCAATGGAGAATCCTGATACGTTTCGTCCTCGCTGTCTTGGGCATAGTCCTCGGTATACTGTACTGATAGTGGACTAGAGCTCAGTTCGATAACCTGGCTGCCCTCTGGGATGACGAACTGTGATTCTTGCTTCACTTTCTGAGATGTCGCTGGTGTCGCAACATGCTTAGCCTCAGATGCTTCAGGCTTGGATCCCTCGCTCTTGAACGAGCATATCAGGGGACTCTCCTTTTGAGATTCAGGCTGTGTCGCATTTGGAAACAAGCTCCGTAAAGATTTGTTGCGATCAGGTGAACGATCAGACTCCTCGCCCTCGTCCAACTTTCGCATCGCCTCTTCATAATCCCCATCTTTCTTTTCGGACTTTATGAACCGGGGCACTGACATTTGACTGAACTTCAGAGGACTTTGTGTCTGCCTCGCTGTATGAAAAATTGCCTCCAGTGAGGGAAAGGGACTGCTGCTTCTCAGGCGAGATTCGTTCGTCACTTGTGGGCTGGCGTTTCTCCCGTGAGGATCATCAACTATGCCCCCTTCGACTGATACTTCAATTCGCCCCTCTGGTAGGTCGTCAAGGCCGCTGACTGATGGGGGTTGCCGTCCACTGCGAACGCTACCCGCAGATGAGGGCACCACCAACAAACGATGGTCGACAAGTGCATCGTCTTTTGTCGGCAGTGGTGGCAGATCCGGTGAGGGTATAGTATCAGGAATAACTGCGTCCCAGCTACCTTCGACTGTCGGTACCGGCTCTCCTTCAGAATCCTTTGCATCCTTTGCTCCATCCGACTCATCGATCCCTGGCTTCTCTCTCTCCCCGTTATCTTTTTTACCCTTACCTGAATCACGCGACAAAAGAGATTGCAACTGGGACACGGACGCTTGCATAGATTCCTGTAGTTGGTGGAGAGGACTGTCAATTTTACTCAACCCAGCAGGCTGAACAAAGCTGCTGATCAGACTGTCGTTTCCGGAAGCCGTAAATTCAAGTCGTGGTGGTTGCTGACCAGAAGGGATCGATATTGACTTGTCGGTTCCTGAGGGTTCCCCTTCAGTTTCCTGTTCCTTCAAATCGGCCTCCACCTCGGCTCTCACTTTCTGCGTATCTAACTCCTCAGCCATAGTCTCATCGGGATCTGTTCTTGCGCTAACCTTGTTGTCCGCCGTGGAATTTCCATTCTGTACGGGTTTGTTCTGTTCGGCCTGAAGCTTTATGCTCTTAGCAGAAGTCTCCAGCATAGCAGGTGGCGGTGCTGGCTGGACCAGTCTCGGGTCGGACATTTCTGCCCACGGAATCTCTCTTCGGCCGTCGTCCTCTTCGTCTTCATCAAGGTCTGGTGCTTCGAACTTTGCATAAATCCGTTGACCTGTGTGTTCGTCGTATTCCTTATCGTTTCCCTCCCGGTCCCTCTTCGCTAGAAGGACATGCATGCAGTTGTCCTCGCTGATCGAAAGGATAAGCCCGGTCATGGGTACCATTTCGGGCTGCCAGTTGGTCGCCTTGGACATGAGTAACTGCTTCCAGGTGGCAACCATTCCTGGCTTCATGTCAGACAGCGTAAGGCCGGGGAGCGTACTGATATCTGAGGGCAGCGAAGGGAGATCATCTGTGTCTGTAAACTGACTCTCCTCGGGGCGATGCTTGGTTGGAATGTCATCATAATTCAATACAATATCTTCATCACCGTTCGCTCCTGTCCCACCAAAAGAACCCTCGGGTGACTCCTCTTCGTCGTATTCTCCGTCATAGCCACCTTTGTTTTTTCGCTTCTTGTTCTTTTTCTTCTTCCTTTGACTGTTATCGTTCCACTCTTCACCACCATTCCATTGCTGAGAATCCTCTTCGTAGTAGCTCTCATCGTTGAAATTTTGCGATGCTCTCTTTCTCTTCCTCATTGATCCATATTGTTGCTGAGGGTCCCATCGCTGTA